TGGCCATGTGAATCCAACAGTTTAATTACAATCTATCTGAAGAAAGTCAAAAGCTCATGGCACTGAGTCAAAAATCATGGAAGACGGGAATGAGACAACCCATACATATTCGAGTAAAATATCCAAGTCATTCACCAATTAAATTTTTTGGTGATTATAGATGTGAACACTTTGTCATCGCTTAAATAACTCACCCGTAAAAATCTCAGAGGAGTCAAACTATTCCATGCATTGTTAGCCAATCTCAACAGAAGCTACATGAAAATATTAGTTTCAATTATCTCTTTTATGGAAATAGAACTTTGGTAATAGCTGTCCATCGCCTAAGGTAACAGCTAGAATGAAAGCTGGTCAACTGACATATACATTTGTACAAAACGGCTTTGCTATGCCCATAGCGCACAGACTAAACACTTTAATATTCTAGCCATCTGGTTTTAAATCCCAAATTTCTTTTTAAATAGAAAATTAGATGCAATGCCAAAAATCATCACAGAACTACATTAATGTCAGCTATAGCATTGTTCCATCTATATTCCTTCTCTCATATAGGCAAAAGAAGTCCAAGCAGCACAAAAGCTAGTCATGCTGTAATTCTGTGTAGCATCTCTGAATGTCACACTTGCTATAAGAATCCTAGTCATATGTTCCACAGTATATATTACACTCAGTTGCATCATCTTCAAAACCTACACCTAACCACTGAGCGCTTTCACCCTCACACCATAATTTTTATTGTAATCTGGAAAACATGATTTTGGTCAAACATATGCACTGAGCACATGATCACACTGTACGATCATATTTTTAAAAAATACAAAAGTACGATATGGACTGCACTTCAAATCAAGACACTAAACTTAAGGCCCTTCATTCAGGTGCTTTGAGTTTGTTAAAGATCCCATGGTGATTCTTTTGAAGGAAAGCAGGGAATTCTTCCAATATTCAATTCTCATTGAAATTCACACACAAAAGATTAATTGGTCATTCATCTCATAAAGATGAGAATCTACTTTTTTTTGGAATTTGTGCTAATTTCAATTCCACTCAGCAGATTTCAGAGAAACTGAAAAAAGAAAATGTCAGATAGATCACCAGTCACAACAAAAAGACATTCAGAATGTATAATTAAGAAACAGTAAGTACACTGAAGAGTATTATAAAAGTAAAACAGACAAATAAGTCAAAAGGGCATAGATTTAAACATTAAGATAAGTTGAAATTGAGAAATTTTACAAAACGATTTAAAAAATGGACAATTAGAAAGCTATATAGGGACTTTTTTGTTCAGCTGGGTGTCTGATATCTGCTGAAACCCATCACCATGCTTTGAGTAACCAAACCAGGAAGAACTCTACATGTGCATGCTGCCTACACATGCAAAATTCCCTGCATCTGAAATGAAATGCGCTGAAATGAACTCTCTGAAGGTACGCACCTTGCTTACCTAATTCTGGAAAGTGTGAGAGGCATGTTGGTGAGAGCTTTGGGACCCCAGAATGTGCATTGCTATTACCGCTAGGGTTCAACTCACAAAATCTGCATTGCTAGCCACTGAGAGCCCTGCTTAGCAATCTCTTCATTGCTTTGTCGTGCTTGGATCACTCAACTCGTTTCGCTTTGGCTTGCAGTGTTAACAAGTACAGAGTGAGAGGAATCCTCATCCCAGTGACTGGTTTGCCCCTCCAAAAGCTGCTGATGATCTTGGCTTTCTGGTTTGTCTTAACAGTGCCCTGGGTTATTGCAAACTGGTTCAGGCGCAGGACAAACTGAAACTAGCACAGAGGGTTGACTCAATTCAAGCATGCCATTGCCAAGCCCGTCACCTTGACACCTTGATACCAGCATTGCCCAAGGAGACAACACTTACCCCCAACACAAAGAAGATATTGGGGTAAACACTGTGACATGTGAATCATTGATGAAGCGGAACAGCTGATATTATATGCTCCAAAGAAACAGGCAAGGAATCAGAATTAAGGCAAGAAGAGAATAGTTGGCCAAAGAAATACTTACAAGTGAATACTTCTCTGGCCAACTATTCTCTTACAAGCAGTGAGTACTTGTAAGTTAGAGATACACTTACATCATTCTTACCTCAAACACAACGCAATTTTCCCTCCCCTTTTGTTGCGGGACTAGATTTCTATTTTTTTTACAAAAAGTATCAATAATCACACCATTAAGTTTCACAAAATATATTCTCAAGTGAAGTGCAGCAAAATTGAAACAATCATTCTACCATAAAAAAAGATCACGACCATGGGGCACAAACCCTGAGGAATTGGCCTCAGTTTCCATCACAACAGATATCTTACAGGTTTACTGCAGTTTGCTTTTATTATTGGTTGTGATTACGATAACCCAAACCACTCCAGAAGCAGCAGTTAGACATTTTGACCAAATGTAGTTTGTTCTACAATATTTAATTTCATATTTGTCGTTACATTTCTTCATTGCACCATCAAACACATCATGCATTATTTTTTTAAAAAAAAGGTAATCTTGCAGTTTGAAGCATAGATAAGGCACTGTTGTGTTGAGAGACAGATAAACAGAAAACCTGAGCGCACAGTACAATAAGCAATTCCCCTGCAATCAATCACCAATACAAATAAGAACTGCAGCAAATTTTGGCAATTTAAAGTGTTGATTTTTTTTTACACACACTAGCTTTGGCGATTTTTCTGCTCTATCAGAGTACATCAGAGCAGAGCTGCAGGATATAAAAACGTCAATGGAAACCACAGTTGGGAATAGAGCAAAGAACAAACTGAATATGTGCATGTAATCAAAGACATAAATCTGGAAAAACAAACATTTCACACCTTACCAACTTCTCTACAAGTTTCATGCAGAGAATATAGTGAGCTGGTTACAAATTAGCTGATTCAACTCAAATATGTCCATTTATGTACAGATATAATTTATAATACAACACAAAATAACTTGCAAGATACCTATCCATTTAAACACAACCTGAGAATCAGAAGTTACATTCGAATTCCAAATGAATATCTCCAGCATAGCTTATTAACTGAACTGTCAGAGGTACAGAACACAATGGTACCGTTTAATTTCTCTAATGGTAAATCTGGGGTTAATTCACGTTTATGAATCCACTGAAATGAATTGCAATACAGATAAGAAACGGGAGAAAAATAATTTAATACAGAGAAATGCACCATCATAGACACTATCGTCCAAATGACGTCCTTCTCTACTGTGGGCATTCTGCAACTATTAAAACAGGTGTGCAGCCCAATGCTCACTCCTTACCTTTGGCCCTTCTGAAATATTTCACACCCTTAGAGCTGCACAGATGCTTGCCTATAGGTACGCTGAAGTCTGATCACAATCGATACAACAATACAACACAAGCTTTGTTGTAACACAAGGTTTGGGATCCATCAAATCCACTATAATTAGACAGCATAGCCAGTTTCACTCAACATGGGTGTTGACGACTGGCTCACTCCCTGGATGTTAATTAGTTCCTGCACTAAGATAATGGGATACTTGTACATGTGTAGCAAGCAGGAAGATGTCGCTGACTACCCAATGACCCAGAATTCAGACATTTTAAATCCATCACTGGTCGGCCTACATTGACATTTACATAAAATGTATGGCACGGAAACAGGTCATTATTCGGCCCAACCAGTTTGTGCCGGTGTCTATACTCCACACCAGCTTTCACCCACTCATTACTCCCTCCCATACCCTTTTATTTTCTTCTCCCTCACGCGAGAAGCAATCAGACTGGTTGTGTGCATGCATCGTGAATGGGGTCCCCATTGCACCGTATTAACACTACAAAGCACGTTGCAATAGTGCTGCACTGTTTATTCTGACAGATTGCCATGTCTTGAGGTTAAACACATCTATTGATGCAAAACCCCAAGAATCCTGTGTTCCCAATAGTTGGAAAACTGAACTTGCAGTTAAAAAAAGGCTCAATAACGCAATTTTAATAAATGACTATCTACTGATGTTGATTCAACTTGTTGCTGGGCTCAGATATTCCTAAAAGCTAACCTTCCCATGTGTCATCCATAGTTACACTATAAGTTAAAATAGTTTTACAAAGATATGGAGACACAGAAAACAAACAAGAGTGTCTATTTTTAATGGTTCAATCTATAATACTTGGTGCACCACAAATGAGTTCTCTCACACAGCCACAACAGTGCAATCATAGATAACTAGGTACTGGGCGTCCAACACAAAAAACATTACACCAAAGATTGACCCGGGCAGATGGAGTATACAACCTTGGCAATTCTTATTCTCTACAATTCTCAGGCTCCACTGGCTAAAACAAAAACACATTTTTGGAGCCATATTTTAACTCACACCATCCTCCACACCAAATGATGGAGACTTGAGAATCCGAGAAGAAAGCAAGTATTTTGAGATGTCAACAAATCGAGTAAAAAGGATAATTTAAATGGCAGAAATTAGTGGATATGGTGCGATAAGGTGAGAATTGGGAGTGCTAAACATTTTACTTAAAATTATATTTTGGGCATTTTAGCGATACAAAGTCAACAGTACAGAAAAGTAAATCCTGACGTGTGACTAGTTTTACTGCTTTTCATATCAATGTTTGTGTCAATGTCAGTGTGCAAGGTGAAAAACAAATGATTACTTTGAGGAAACTGGGAACTTCACTGGACCAACTGGAGTTCAAAGTTTAAGTAAAATAGAGATTCCCACTTTAATGAGCTCAGTGGTACTATCCCATTATTTATGCAGTCCACATAGAGTCCCAGTGCCTTGGGACGTTCTCCCAAGTGAAAGGCAATGTAATTTTGTATTGTACTGTATTGCATTTAAGCCAGTTACAACACATTCAAATAATGATTCTAATGGTGCAGTGGATAGAATTATCGTTAACGGATGAGGGGCTCGCAGATTTGTGCTGTGTTTGCTGGTAGCAAAATAATTGGACACACCAGATATTTTTAAAAATCTAATAGATTTTCAGAGCCACTTACGATTAAGTCACAATTCCGTCCCATAGAGATGACCGTCCTGTTTACAGTTCTCAGTAGTTTCTCCATAATTATCTGGACATGTCTCTGCGTTGGTCCCTAAGATGGGAATTAAGCCAATAGAAATGGTTACCAAAGAAAACTAATATAGCACAATACTGAATTTTTTCATTAAAATCCATCTTCATTCTCTTTGACCGTGCCTTCAGCTCCCCTCTCGACTCTCTTCCTCCTCCTCGCTCCCTCCCTTCCCTCCCCTCACCCTGACCATTTCCCCCCTCCTCTCTCCCTCCCTTCCCTCCCCTCACCCTGACCATTTCCCCCCTGCTCGGGTCATGACTCAACTGTGCAGCGCCTTGGGACGTCCTCCTGACGTGAAAGGCGCTCTATAAATGGAATCTTGTTGTTGTTGTTGTTCATTCTAAGGTGTAAATCATTTATAATTCTATGCAAGTTCAAGACAACAGAAGGAGTTACATTGAATGTCAAAAAACCAGTGCGGTCAGATAAAGTGCAGAGATTCCTTAGTAATCACACCTTTGTTTCAAAGAATTCATGAAACCATTTCCTGCTACTTGCTTATTTATGTGGTAACAGCACCCAAGTACATCATTGTGTCAGGAGTGAAAAACTTGGTGGCTTTAGGGAACTGTTTTAAAATGCAGCCTAATGGAAAATGATCTTTAATGAGTTCAGGGAAACACTTAAATGGGAGGGATCCAATCCGGCGAACCAGGATTTGCAGTTAAGTACAATTACTGGCAATTTTCCAAAAAATGGTGATAAATTCCGTTGCTGGTAATTGTAATTATTTAAATCCCGTGAGCACAAGATAGTGAGTAAGTTGATATCCCCGACCACTGCAAAGGCTGGCAAGGTGAAGCTCCTCAGCACGGTGGTGGCGTGTATTGGGAGAGTTGGAAGTCGATAGCCTACACATTTGCAGGCCTGCAGAATTTTTTTTTATTTGGGGGGGTTTTGGGCCCGAGTCGGCCAAGTTCGAATTCCAGATGCACGGAGTTTGGTAAGCCAAGGCTTACTGTAAATCATAACATGAATATGCTTTTAAAAATGAAGACATTTTACCCTGTAATTATTCTTTCCACTGGTCAATTCAGGTCTTGCACAGTACATGCCTTGGTCCCAACAATGGAAACGCTGGGATAAGCAAGTTTTACAACTAGTTCAGTCAAAGCTAGGCATAATGTCTTCCTTGCTTAAAGGCCATCAGTCTGCCTGTACAGGTCATCAACACAAAATATTCACAGCAGGGAAGATCCACAGCTAGAATATAAAGCTGTAACTAACACGTAGGAAACAACTGCACGACTAACTTGAGCCATTGTATTTTCAGTCAAAAATAACCTTGTTTTTTTTGTGAGGCCACATTTGGATTATTAATTGCAATTTGCATCGGAAAGAACATTGATACATTGGAGAGGGTACGGAAAATAATGGCGAAGAATAATTCTGGTACTCGGGACACTAAACCATGAAGAGAAATTAAAAAGAGCTGAAACCGAGAAAGGTTTGCAAAATGCTGAGAGGCATAAATAATGCAGATGCAAGCAGACTTTGCCTGCAAACGCAAAAGATGCAAGGTGAAATTAACAAGTCTCAGGACTAGCAATAATGTAAAAGGAATTATTTTATCACCATATACAATGAATATGTGAGCAATGTGACTATGTGAGCCCCCAGTTATCATTATTTCAATTAACTCCTTCACAAAAGTGCTCAAGTATTTGATTATAAATCAGACTGACTCGTCATCGTACGTGCACGGCAAAATGCAGACAAACATTTCAAATCGATTTGTGGATCGCTTTCCATGGGTTATAGTCCCTTCAAAATAATACTAATATGGTCACTTAATCCACCACTGTGTGTGGGATGCTACTATGGGGAATTGGCTGCTTTGTTTCACCCAAAAAACAGTCACTCCACTTTACAGTGCATCTTTTGAACTACTTTGAGACAGCTCGAAGACATAATATCAAATGCTGAGATTATTATCTTTATTAGTTTGCATAGTCAAGCCTCGATGTTATGAATGCACGTACAAAGTTTTTGGCAGCCTGCGGTGTGAGACAGTGATGGAGCTGGGCAATATTGCGGAGGTGAGGGAAGGCAGAGCGGGTCATGGCACATGGATGTGGGGTAGAAAGGATAGTTGAGAGTCAAATAAGACACCAAGGTTCCAGACTGGCTTAGTAAGGTACAGTGTGAATCCTTGGATGGTAATGCTATCAGCGCCTGAGGTGTGGAGGCGCTGAAGGGAGCCAATCAGGAGAGCCTCGATCTTGTCGACATTCAACTGAAGAAAGTTAGCTCTCATCCAGGACTTGAGGGAGGGCGAAATCTTGAACAAGTTTCCTTATTCCACACACCTAATAATAATCCTTCCAAAAAAAACAATAATAAATTGGTCATTTTCAATCTAAGACTGTTTGTGGGACATTGCTGTGCACAATTGGCTGCCGCGTTCACCCACAAATATGCAGTCAATTCACTTTACAGTATATTCTGTGAAGCGCTTTGGGACGTCTAGAAGACGTGAAAAGCGCTATATCAAATGCAAGGATTATTATTATTAATGTCCGACAGATATTCTGTCAGGACAGCAGTGGTCTTGGAGTCAAGAGTGCAGGCAGAGAGATACAGTTGGGTATCATCTGCATACATATGGAAGTTGTCTGCGAATGATGTCACAAGAGGGAGAATATAGATATTGAAAAGGAGGGGACCAAGGACAGAGCCCTGAGGAACGCTGCATGAGATGGTGATGGGGCTAGAGGAGAAACCGTTTGTGGAGATGAAGTACAGGTGGTGTGAGAGGTATGATCTGAACCACTTAAGGACAGAGCGTAAAGGTTGTGGTGAGAGGATAAGCGGCGGGTGAGGACATAGTGGTCAACGGTGTGGAAGGCAGTAGAGAGGCCAAGGAGGATGTGGAGGCAGAGGGAGCCTCTGAGAAGCAGTCACTTAGAGTAGAAATTCAGGGACATTTGGACATAGGGGATTTGTCATGCTGAAAAGTATGAACACACAATTTTCAAATTTCATGCAGAAAACAATTCCAGATGTATACCTCAACCATATATCTATTATAGCGGAGCTACACAACACCATAGAATACAACTTTGAAGCTAATTCAAACACTTTGAGAATCTTAACACATGAAAATATATCAAGTCAATTTAATGGAAATGCATTTACTTGGAAAATTAGGCTCAATGTATACAGGATTTATCTACTAACCCCATCCTTTTTGTAGAGTACTTCAAGGATATTGCTAAGAAGCTGGCAGCATGCCTCCAGTTCTTCTCGTCTTTCCAGGTGGTGTTTCAGCTGATCGGTCATCAAGGGTAGAAGGATTTCTCTGCAGTCTAAACATGGCAAATAAATCGATTTCAATAATAAACTTGGCTCAAAGGTCAGTCTTTCAATTTTCACCATTAAGCAATTCATCAAAGAACTACAGGGTATCTAAAACAATACAATGAATGTATATTCGTCGAAATGATCAACTTGAAGGCATTCAAAATAGTTTTCTTTGGATCTTGCAACTTCACCACCAACCACCTCCACACACCCTTATGCATATTTTGTATACGTACAGTATGTAATAAACTCCTTCAAAAATCTTATCAGCTTAAAAGCAACACTGGACAATATCGGAATAATTATAGAAAACGGAACAATTAAACCACAAACACAATGACTTGTGTGTTTTGGATTCAAATGGGATAGGGGGAAAGTGGAATGGTTTTTGTGGAAGAAAAAGTAAACCCAGACCAATGCATTTGGATGTATTAAGACAGTATAAAAAGAGGATATGGATTTAGAGCTGTAAAGGGCATTTTCAAGACACACACCAGGAGGTTTTTCTTCACACAAAGGATAATCAACAACTGGAACAGCTGCTAGGAAAGGTGGTAGAAGACAGGCCATACACAAGATTCATTTAAAAAACAGCTTGATGCATTGATTGGTGGGGGGTGGCAGTTCCGGTTTTGAGATAGCTAGATTGATGAACACAGAAAATTACCAAACTTTGAAACAAGGACCTTTCCACCCACAAAGGTACCATTAAATAGAAAATGAAAGGATGCAAGTTTTGCTTTTCCTAGATAGTGTGATTCCACACTATATTACTCATTAGCCTTTATGTCAATCTGGAGCGTAAGCTTCATCTTTGTAAATAATGGGGAGGTTTATACTATTTTTAGACAGTATTATCTGTTACACTAATATTTGATCCCAGACTAATAACCTTCTGTCCTATTAGATTTTTGGCTTAATTGTCAAATGCTGTTAGTATCTACTTTGCAGTTTGTAGCTCACCCAAGAAAACAGCAAAAAGAATGAAAAGAAAATGTAAAGAACTTGGCTCATCTCTGTGGAGACTGTTGAGGTCCAAAGCTTTAATTATCCAAAGCAGATTATAGTCATATTTCCATCTACATTAAATTAATTCAGGGAAAGTTTAACCAAGACAGAAATGGTTACTTCTATTCAGAATGCATGTCATATCTTAGATCTGTATTCATTTCTACCTCACATTCTTTTATTTTATAGTGATAATACCCAATGAGAGACTTCAATATGAGATCTAATATAACTGCAAAATGTATTGAGGCACTGTGTGAAAATGAGAGGATATTAAATGACACCATGGATTTTGTTTAAGTACTGATCGATTCAAGATAAAAGCGATGTGGGATGGATAGTCACAAAAAAGCAGGTCTGAAGCTATCAGTCAACTCAAATTAAAGACAATCTGATTAAGCAATCCCTTTCGAGTCTCTTCAGCACTGCCCCGGTATGCAGATATCAGTCCTCCTACATGTACATATCTTAAAATTATTTAAATCAAGCTGATCCCAAAAAGTTTGTGCATTATTTAGCTTGGAATAACAGCTACATATTCAAGTTTCAAGACTACAGAGCACCAACGCATTTGGTTCTACTAAAGCCAAATATGATGCAATATCTTTCTGCTGAATAAAAGGCCAAAGCAATAATGCTTCACAAAGCACTGCTCAGATCCCCGTAGAGCATTGTGTACAGCCGTGGTCACCACTTTTGGAAAGCTAGAGGCAGTGGTATACATTAAACAACCATTCCCTGTTTAAGCTTGACGTTTTATCTGACCTCGGAGCAGTAGAGTGCTTCTGAACCACCCACAATTAGATCTCTCTGTACCATGAAGAATTAAGCCTACATTTTGGTAGCAGGGTTGCTTTTCAACCCAGAAATTAATCATATTGCAGTCTTGAGCACACACTGGAATAAATTTTGCTCTTTGTTTTCTATCATTAAATGACATTTTCTCCAAAGACCGACTGTTGTTGTGGGCCTTGGTCACTGGGACGTACAATTTAATATCAGGAGCTGGCTACAGGAGGCAAACCAGACCCAAAAACAATTGCACCAGGTTATAAGTTCAAGCATCCTTGGTGAAAAACAAAAACTGCATTTGAACGTTTACAGAATAAAGCTCAAACATTGAAGGGACCATGTTTACTACTATCTCAACAGTACACAAGGAGTTTGAATTGCTCAACAGCAAACGTTTCCTTATGTGGGAGATGACAGAACTCTTCTAGTGCTTGAAAAACTGAGAAAATGTTGCGTTTATTCATCCCAGTGAGGTAAGACTATGTGAGCATTGAAGGTGTAAATTTTTTAATCAATACAATGTTCAAGGTGACTTTCCCATACGAGTTGATACCTCATTTTGTTCTCTCCGCACTGTTGAAGGTGTAATTCACACTGGGCTGCATTTCAAAAGATGTTGGTGGTACTCACTGAAGTGATCATTCTTCAATGAGTTTCGGCAGGTTATTTGATCAAGGCTTCTATTCCTCCCTGTTGCCCATACCAGGGGACAGTGGAAAATAATCAGAACTAATTTTTCTCCACTCACTTTCTAACTGAAGTGCACGAAGGCCAAGTGTACTATTTTGGTTGTACGCAGATATTCAACAAATGAGGAAGAATTAGTAAATCTGAGCACAGACATGCTATAATTTAACCCTCATCAGTTTCCTTGTCACAAGCAGTGGAGCACCACTGATCTCAGAATAACCTTGATAAATCAATAGTTTACAACTTTCTTGCTGTCCCAAACAAATCTCCTCAGGTAGCATTGCCAAGGATCAGCTATCTGCTCATAACTATGATGCATGACGATGCCTGGAGAACAATGATTCAACATCTGTTCACTCCACTTCACACAGCTACAAACTTGAGTGTTTAATATCACGGAATCATAAATTCTGAGCCTTTTATTAATCTTTATAAAGGAGAGGCTGAGAAAATAAAACATTTTGAGCATTGGTGCATGAATATTTAGGAAAGTAATATGAGTAAGTCAATGAGAGGAGTGACACAGATGTCCTAATCGGCAAAGGCACAAGAATACAGAGTGAAGGGTTGCAAGTCTGCCTGGAAAGCAATAGGAATGCTACAATTGGCCCAGCCTGCTGGGTTAAGGTAGGAGGAAAGAGCAAGAGTCAAGCAGAGCAAGAGTCAAGCAGGAGTTCTATTCTGATCACTTATCCTACCAATAATTGCTTATGCATGGGAATTGTGTGAGAGCACGATCAAGCTTGGCAATTATTCCCTATACAATCAAATAGCCAGGGAACATATTATCTTGACCAAGGTATCCAAAATAATATACTGTGAGCTTCCTGACTGGATATGAGCAGTTACAAAAAAAAATTTGTGATGTATTTGGCTCTAATATATAGCATTGAAGTTCTAGATTGCTCCATGTGGTTCTTGCAAATAGAGTACTGTACATTTTTTAAAAAATTTCAAAGAATAATTCCACAGTGAGCTGTGAGAGTGGAGGAGGGGAACCACGCAGAAAACTGTAGGCACAGGGGAAATAAAACACCAACAGCCAGTAAAATGTGCAGAGCCTATTTGAAGTCTATTTTTTTTAATATGCACATTGATAGAGAGTTGTCAAAACACTGTCTTCAACCCAAGAGAAATCCATAAAAATTGAGATTTATAGTTTTTTTTTACAAAACAAAACTACAAACCCATTTCAACAAAGCATACAACGAATGTATCAGTCTCCAAATAAATAGCAGGCGACACCCCACCACAAGCAGAACTTCAAGTTTACACATTTTTCAGTGCCAATTTTTTTCAACTTCCTAAAATATTATGTAAAATAGACTATTTAGGCATTGATTTGATTCTGATCCCCAAGTCAGAGCATGATTTACAAGTTTAGTTCTTTGTCTGACTAATAGGTTGCTGGATGCAAAATGCATTTCTTCCAAAAGTACAAAAAAGATTCCGTCAAACTTGCTGGAGTAGTGAGGAAGGATAGATGGGTTTATGATCACAAAAAACAACTGCATCTACACAACATGAAAAATCAAATGTCTCCCATAAAACTGAAGCAATAATTTGTTGTTTTGGCTTGGTGCACTTGGGTCCCTCAAGTTAGTGAAAGCAAATTTATCAATCTGTCAATTTGTGATGTTAATTTGAAAGCAATCAATAAACTGACAAAATACAAGAAGAATATTTGACTGCAGTAATTCACACCAGCTCTGGGGATTTTATTTATTTCGTAATACTTCTGGAAACCTATGCCACGGGAATTACTTTTAACGCTGCACAGAATTTTGTCAGTGAATTTTTACTTGATCTTTCTCCCACACAAACCTGAAATTTTAAAACAGTAGTCAAGGACATTGCTGCTCTCACAAAGTAAATTTAATTGGCTCAGACCCCCACAACTCCTGTCACAGAAATGTAGATCAAAACCCAGTGGAAGCTTTATCACCAAGAAAAATGTCGCTTTAATTATGAGAAAATATTACTCACCGTGATGTGTGAAGAGGTCACTGTGCACTATTTCTATCAAACAGTAGAGCTTCTGAAGCACTAACTTGCCCGGCGGAACGTTGTGGATAAAGTCTGTAAATAGTTTGCTGTGAACAAAGGTGACTAATGAGTGTATGATCATCCAGGTACATCCATAAACATAGCATCAAAAATTCAACGGAAAGAGCACCAAACAATTCTGAAAATCGGAAAATAAATCCCAACACTACCTTCTGCCCCTAGTAAATTTTCTCGTGGGATTCTGTTGACAGCAATTTCATTTACAATTTTATGGCTTGGTTGACATTACCTGATGCATCTTCAATTATAGATCTCTGCCACCTATTTCCTCTCTGAGTAAGGCGGATGTCCTACTCTTGAGTTGGCAGAGGATTGGGTTCATGTTAACTTCACATTCCTACCGTTCAACTGGCTAGGATAAGTGAACTTACCATTAAAGCTCGTGAATAGCTTTCACAAATGAAAGGAGTCTGATCCCCCAACAGTTTGTATCAAGCATCCTACCCTAATATTTAGAGGTAGTTGAACCTAAAGACAGAATAACTCTCTGGCAAAGGCAGATCAAGGCTATAATAATTTAGAGAATGTGCAAGTTAGAAAGGCTTTGCAATACCTTGCAAAAAAGGTTTCAGTTGAATGATTGTGGAATATGCTTTGGGAAGCAAGTTCATTTTAGTCTCGTTTTAAGTGCACAATCCAGACTTGTGCAGTGTTCCTGGATAACTCGAGTACTGTATCCCACACTCAATAGCAATGGATAACTTAACCAGCGTTCAGAGGTAAGGCAGCACAAAAACCCAGAGAAACAGTCCAAGATAGGGATTCATCTCACAATGTTATCAAAACTAGAGAATGCAAGGCACATAGGATGAACAGCTCAAAGCATTACAATATTGTAACAATGGATTTGCAATTTTTTTTAAAAAACAAAATGGGAGAGGTTGAAAAAGGAGAAGGGCAAGGGCAGAGAAAATCACATCCATCATCAAGGCAATCGGTTTGAATTTCCCATTGATACACATGTGTTCACTGAAATGTTAAAATTGTCGGGCTTGCAAGCTATCAGAAGACCTATATTAATGGCTGTAGCAGGATCGCATAAGGATTCTTGAAGCCCTGTTTTTGAGTGTTCCTAATACCCACACCAATGATTTACACAATAAAGTTCCTCCACCCGATTTGAAAGAAAAACAATTGGCAGAAAAGGCCTCCGTGCTTGTGGAAGAGCTTTTTCTTATTCTTCATTCTTCTATTTTTGTGAGGGATAAACTATTTCAATTTATCATCAAAACACATTCCAAAATTGAGGGAAAATTCTACAGTTCACAAATGAATATTATCGTCATACTACAAAATATTCTGCTCAAAAATGAAAACGAAATGAATATGAATGCCAGCATAATTATTCCAATATAACTCCTCCTCCATTATTACCATAAATAAGTAATAAGAGACTTTCCTTTCAAACGCTCTAAACAATTTTGCCCTTCACATATGACTTGGAGAATAAAAAATAATGGAACAGTAAGTCACAAGACACAAGGGAATCATCCCCAAACGTTAAGTGAAAACATGAATCACATCAAAATGCTATGCAGTAACTATGGCTTATTGCATTTATATCTTCCACTCATAACATTTATATTTTAAGACATTTTAAAAGAAACAAAATTTCTAACAAGAAAATACATTAATTCAGCCAAAACGCACGCAGCAAATAAACTGATTCAAGGAACAAAAAAAATCGCAATTCCGTTAAGTAGTTTTGGTTACTTGGCACAAATGCAAATATAATTGATAGTGAGTCAAAGAAACCAATATAGTTCTGCATTATGAGAATGAGGAGGAATAACAATACACTAACGATCACAGTTTTGCATATGCAAATAAACAGTAAATTAAATATTGAGCTTTAATACTGATTTCACTATTTTAAAATGTACATTATCGAAATAGAGGTGTTTTTTAAAAAAAAAGTTAAATCCTTTAATTACTGGTGTTAACGTTTAAGAGAATGTGCATTTGTGTTTAACGGAGAGTTTCTCTGGGTGTCTCATTGTATGTATTTATGAGTCCACTTCGGATTTTCTACTCCTGTCCCAGGTCAGCAATTGACCAAGCTACATCTATCATACAAATGCAGTTCTGACCATTCAGCAGCTTGACTAGCTGCAAAATGAGTCAATGAAAAGGAGCTTTAAGCAAGTTGTTCCCACCTTCCAAAGTAGACTGTGGGAGCTGGAAAAAATACAAAAGATAAGTGTAACAGAAGAAGTAAATTAAACAGAAATATTTCAATAAAAAAAGCCAAGGTAAGAAAAAGTGAAGACAGGTTGCCGACTGTAAATAGTGATTATTTTTGTAAAATTATAGTAATAAAGCAATTCTTTAGTAGCTTTACTATCAGAATTTTCCATTTCCAGTCTATTTTCCAGTCCACAATTCAGAAGCTGAAAGGTGTACAAGCTATGTACAAGTGTACCAGCAAAAGAATCCTTGAAACCCACAGCAAATCAGCAATTGAAAAGGTTAACATTTTGAGTAGAATATTGCACCAGAACTACAACAGATGGCTGGGGAAGGATGGAGATTGTCACAATAGGACAAAAATAAGAAATAACACTTTGGGAAGAAACTCAAACTGATGTTTACCACACACAAAAAAAAACTCACACCTATGAACAAGCGGCAAAGTGTAAAATATATTTAATTCTAAGCGAAAGGAGCTGAAAAGAGAAAGTGCTGCTAGCCAACAGCGCAAATGTGAGATGCATGGATCCATTCAGTAAACATCAAGTTCTAGCTAATAAAAAATAATATTGAAAATATTCAATTCAAAATATGTTGATTCTGTAACCCTCTTAAAGCACTTAAAAACCCAGCTAAGAGTTGAAATCTTTACGTCTATATCTACCCCAATGAAAAACACTTAAATGATTAAAACATACAACCAAATCTGCAGCATTGCTTCCTTACCTAAGCTCCTTAGGATCAAATACCAGCTTTACATCGTTGACAATTGTTGGGAGGTACTTCAAGGCTGCACCCTAACAAAAAATTGAAAACAAAACTGGGTTAGTCTTGCTCAGTTGTGGCTCTGACTCAGAAGGTTGCATTTTCATATCCCACACTAGAGATGTGCTGTATTGTTTGAGGTGCCGTCCTTCGGATGAGATGTTAAACCGAAGTCGTGTCTGCCTGTTCAGGTGGATGTTAAAGATCCTGTGGCACTATTCGAAAAGAGAAGGGAATTCTCCCAGTGTCCTGGCCAACAATCACCCAAATAAAAATTGATCACTCACTCTTATGGGTGCTGCCGTGTTTACCTACAAATACAGTCAGTCCATTACATAGTAAATCCTGAGAAGCGCTTTGAGATAGACATCCTTCCGATGTAATAAAGTGCAAGGGTTATTAAAAACAGAAATGACCTTAGCTCTGCAGAGTAATGAAACGATGTTGAAACGAAACACATTGAGGGAAACAATATTAATAAACATTAAACTAGCACACACACACTCTCTTTTAAATTGAGACCATAAAAATCATTCAGAAGATAGGGTATTGCCAGGATACAACTATTGAAAATGTTACTTGTGGTCTCAAGAGGAACACGGTTGCTCAACCCTGTAAACCATAAGGGCAGAACAGGGTTGAGGGAAGAGGGGGAAAGAAAGAGAGAGAAAATCCTATGGAGAAGAGAAGATCATTTCTAGGTGATACTTACTAATGCAGTGTTTATCATTTTGGAGCTCAGCTTAGCGTGATTTGCACTCACATTGTATAAACATGGAGAGTACAAAACATGTAAGGTTTGCTCATTCGTACTTGCTCAAAGCTTTCAAGCCATCTAATACATTGCCAGATACCACATATTGCACAAAAACCCTACCCGCAGGTGGGATTAGGTCATAACTTCAAATCAGCAAATTTTCAATTAAAAATCAACTCAACTATATCCCCTCAGAATTAGGAAAGGCAAACAACTGGTTGCACATACATTTTAAAAAATGCCCATGTAAGGCATTGTTTGTTGACTACTTACCCAAATTGTCATCAGGAAAAAGAATTGAACTGAACCTAATTTCAGAGACCTGTTACTGGCTATTTAAAAAAATCTACACAAATTAAATCATGAACCAAGGCTGTCATAACACCGAGAAAAGCCTCTAATTTTTTTTAAAAAGTGAATATTTTGCAAGTGGAAACAAGGTGTTTCCTTACAAACAGTTACATAAGTCAACACAGCTGAAGTTTCACTCATGTCCCTCTTTATGACCGAACTTAGTTGAACTTAGGTCAGGTCATTTAAAACTAACGAGGCCTGAAACAATACTTTAAAAAGAGAGAAAGCACTGGAAACAAAGTTTGGACTACACTTAGAGAGAATCTGAGTCCCACAACACCTAATTTCCAAAAATGCAAGCACTGAACTGGGCAAGATGATTCAATGCCGAAATGCTAGCCTTCGTAACATAAATATTAGTTAAGAGTAGAACAAGTTTAAAATACAGTAAATTGACTTTACATTGAATAGTGGGTAAATATTTTCCTGGGAGGACTCTTAACATTGTGTATGCAAGAAAGAGAAACCAAAGTATTGAGGACTGCTTCTCTCCCCCCCCCTCCCCCCACACCGGCCACATAAACACACACCTTAGGGTCAAAACATTTCCTCTCAATGTCAAAAAGAGGATTATTTACAGAGTTCTCTTCTTTCTTACTGCATGTTCCAACCGCTGTTAGAATCAATCATCAGTGAAACAGGTTTTCCACAGAGGCAGCCACTTATATTACACAGAAAACCACCAGCAGAGAAATGGGTTTCAAATGGTGAAAAAACATTATGTTGCACCACTTCGATTTTTCCTGCAGCGTCCGAAAGAAGAAAAGCCTCATCACTCTGAAAAAAAACGTTTATGTCCCAAGGAGTTACTGATTTAGAGTTTCAGCCTCCAACAGTCAAAGATGAAGAAACCAGTAACACAGGATGGTCTGCTCAATGTATTTACCTACAGAATCAGGTTAACAAGGCCACTGCAGTGACGACACATATTGATGCTCAATACACCGTGCCTTAGAGGGACAGTTTGAAATTTTGTGTACAATTCACTTCTCGGAATAGAAATCTCCCAAACTCAGGCATGCTGAGGTGATGAATTGCAAGATAACGGAAGCAAAGATTAGGTACCTGTCCACATACAGAAATTATGGGCGTATCCTTAGTCATTCTCATAAACCTTACAGTAACCAATTCAAGGATTGCACTGACAGAACACACACAAACAACAACCAAACAGTGACAAAGAATAGCTTCCAAGCAACAGTCAGTATAAACACAACACTCAGGTATCGAAACAAGCCAGCAATTTATAGGACAGATGGCTTCTATAATAATTCGAAGCCACTCAATGTTTGTAATTGGCTGCTGCATTTCACCCACAAAACATACAGTCAATTCACTTTACAGTATATTCAGTGACATGCTTTGAGACATCTCAAAGACCTGAAAAGGCACTGTATCAAATGCAAGGATTATTATTATTATATGGCAAACAAAGAGAACTCCTGGGCGGTGTGAATTTCTTAGGCAAGTTTCCTTACTCCACACGCTTCTCTTTACCTAGCAGTAAGTAGGAACCTGGTTGTTTGTTGATTGGCAGATTGCTTTCTGGTGGTAATAACCCCTTGCAAAAAATAAGTAAATAACAACAATTTGGTCACTCAATCCAAGATTGTCTGTGGGACACTGCTTTGCGCGATTGGCTGCCTCGTTTCGCCTGTGGAGCGCTTTGAGACGTCTCAACGAATTGAAACAGCGCTATATCAAATTCAAGGATTATTTTTATATTATTATAACTCTTGAAGTGTCTTGACAGGTATTTCTCCAGGAAAGTTCTTTAAATATAAAGGGGCAAATTAAATGGTAATCACACCAAAGTATGTTCTCCTTAAGTAGCCATTGACGAGAAAAAAGATTGACAACTGTACCAATGAAAGCAGATAAGAGTGCTTTGCCACATGGAAACACAAAATGTACTGACTGTACAAATGTATGCATCTTTCCATTATGCATTGAAATAATGACTTGCACCAAATCATTTTGTCAGATTAATTTTTGTTGAAAACAAAAACTATGCGCCAGACAACTTGGGACAAATTTGGTTAACCTACTTTACCAACCTAGTGGAAAAGTACAGTTTTATCTTGCGATTCTCCATAGAGTAATGCCATTTGGGCTTGGGCAGTGGAGGAATAAAACATTTTCCCATTAAAAAGCCTCTCACAATCCAGAATTGCATTTCTAAAATCAAGTCAAGTGTAGTGCACACTCTTATGGCCACTTCAGTCACAGCACGAGCAAACCATTCGGGAGTAAGTCACCCTCTCATTTGGAGTGCTTTGTGTAGCAGATGGGAAAAATATATAAATTGTGAAGAATATTGGCATCAGTCATCTATCTGCTCTTATATAGAATGCGCGTTGGTTTCGTATAAAATTATATTGCGACTTCTAATTTGTTGTCCTTTTAATAAATGGCTTCTACCCCTTTACCAATTGTACCAAATAAACTGGGTATGAATGCAACTGAGACCTATCCTCCTTAAACAATCCAAATATTAGAATGCATTGGTGCCACATTTACCCGAGAATGAAAGCAGAGCAGGTGGCATCATGTTCTTCCTGATTAATATGTGATTGGTCTGGTCATGTTAATCCAATAACCTTCTTTGAAGACACACAGATGAGTAAGCTTCTGAAAGCTAAAGTCTGTTAAACAGCCAGAGGCTGAATGATTGGGTCCACAGTTCCTAAATCAAGCCACTTCTCGATTGATGGCCCATCCTGTGAAGAAAGGTTCTTTCACCAGGATAAGAGATAAGCGAAAGAGATTGCTGCAACAATCCTCTTAAACTTCAGCTCTTGACACCACCATCACAGTGATATTCCGAATGAACTGAGAGACTTTCCAGTGGCAGTGAATCAATTCAGACTAATTTTGCTCCTGTTGCAGTGTTATGTGTGCTGTGATCATTTTGGAGTGTGATCTTACCTTTTTGAACAAAATTAAGACCCAAAATGTATAAAAATTCTGTGTTACATATGCAAAATTATAAATCAAAACTAAATTTGCATTTGCAAACTATTTATTATTCAAATGAGCTTCTAAGGCAAATTGCCAATCTTTGTACCATTTTTCCTGACTCACAAGCTTAAAATATATATCTACATCTGTGTGAATAGTTTAGATCAGAAAATAGCGATCCGATAATTTAGTATGCTGCAAGTTAGTTCAATGCAGTAAATCAAGACTGGGTTTGAATACATATCTAGCCGAGGTGCTATCAAGCAACATTTCACTTCAGCTGTGATACACACCACTTAACCTCCACTTTATACAAAAAGAAATTATACTGAAACCAAGAGCAACATTTTGCTGAGCTAGCATTCCATGGTTTTATATGGTTACATTAATTATTTTACCTTTTCGGGCATTTTAACACAAACGGCTCAAATTTGTGCATGAATCATTTCACATCAACATTCAAGCCTAGTTTCAATAAAAGGCTAGGATAGCGTTCATATTTCTGCAAGCAAAACTCACCTTAACTATTACATTCTGATCTGAAGTGCCGCTCATCATCTCGTTGATTGACCTGAACAGCTGCCTCAAGGAATCCATAAAATCAGCTTCTCCTTTGTCTTCATACAATCTGAAGGAAAACACACAAATCTGAGTAATATCTCATTAAACAAACCCATTAAGAGACAAAAATTGATTACTCAATCATAAATTCACTGAAACCTGAAATGTTACATGCCCACGCACAAACAACTGGACTGGGGAAAAAGAAGTTGCTCAGGTCTCAGCTTGGCTCAGTTGACGAGCATTGCTCATCTGTCATTCAAGAGGTTGTTGGTTTAAGACCTACGTTAGGATTCGCAACTTAGTCTTGGCCAGAGTGGTCCAACTGGCAGCCCATGGGCCATATGCAGCTGGGGGGATGATTTTGTTTGGCCTGCGATCACAGTCGGCCTGTGTGTCTGGAGCCTGATGGGAAAAACAGCGGTGCAAAGCACCGGGTAGCAGCAGAATTTGCCAATCACTTTCACACCGGTAACAGGAGAGAGAGATGCACACAGAGAGATCCAGATACACACAGAGAGACACACACACTCACGGACACAAAGGGGCAGACAGAGAGAGAGATGCACACAAACCAGAGAGATACACAGAGACAGAGAAAGAGATACACACACACACACATACCAACAGAGAGAAAGAGATACAGACACACACAGACAGAGATACAGAGACCCAGAGAGACTGATTCCGAGACACACGCGGACAGAGGTTGTTGTTGTCGTTGTTGACAGAGAGAGACAGATACAGAGACACACGGATAAAGAAAGAGACAGAGACACAGATAAGAGTTATACAGAGACAGAGAGGTACACAGACACACAGACAGATAGAAAGATACAGAAACAGAGAGACAGAGAAAGAGACACCTGCAGACAGACAGATACGAAGACGCACCCAGACAGAGAGACACAGATACAGAGAGAGACACACACACAGACACAAATACCTCGATGGTTTAAAAACAAAGGATTTCTATACAATTCTTACGGGTTACGTTTCTGGGGGGAAAATACAAAAATATTGCTTATGCGATCCGCAAACATTTCTCAAATCTGGTATCAGGCCCTCAGCAGCCAAAAGGTTGGAGCAGCCTGGTCTAGACTGACACTCCAATACAGTATTAGGGGAGCCCTGCATTGTTGGAGGTGCTGACTTTCAGATGAGATGCTAAACCAAGGTCCTTCCACCTGTTCAGATAGACATAAAAGCTTCCACGGCATAATACAAAAAGATTGTTCTTCCTCCCAGAACAGTCCTCAAGGCAAAAATGGCCACACACAGAATTTTAATTATTAAAAAGATCATAGAATTACATAGAAAGATGGGCCTGTTGACCAAACAAATGTGTGCTGGTATTTATACCCCCACGACCCTCCACCCATTCTATTCCTCTCTTCTGTGTTCTGATCTCTTCTGCCCACGTCTGTTGATCAATCTAAACTTAGGTTAGGATTCAATCATGTTCATTAGAATTCAATGCTGGAAAATGGAATTAATCCTCTTTTTTGTGACCTCACCAATTATTTTAACGAGCAAAATGTTTGCTTTACATTCCTTAATCCGAGATCAGCATGTCCTATTGCTATGTGCACCATTTATTTCTAACACCAACTAACATATCTATTTTTACTTCCCTAAGAAAGATAGTGCTGAATTCTGGAAGTTTTTGTATTGTACTTCCACGCTCTGTAGATAGTTGATTGCGGCTGCACAAACTCGTTTCACTTAGGACCTTTGCAGTCCTTGAAATAAAGCCTTTTATCACATTGAACTATATCTGATCCCAGAGGTGAAAGGAAATTGCTGTGAACCACTACACCACACAATCTCCTGATAAAATTTTTATATAGTTCTTGAAGAATATTTTATCTGTAGCAAGACAGCATCCAAATTTTATTTGAGTATATACCTGTGAGTGGCTATAAAGCACTAATATAATTGAAGTTTTCTACGTCAAACTGTGAAGGCATGAGTCGCTACATAAATATCAGAACTCGTCTCCCCCACCCCCCAAAAAAATTAGGGTTTACGATATACATCATCTTTCTTTAGTGCAATTGCAATACAACTTAATAAATTTACAAATATATTTTACACAAATCCTAAAATAAAGCAATTCTTAAGCATCTACTGCACAAAGTATCTTAGGTAATATCAGCAATTGCACCCACTAATAGCAAAAAATTAATTTCCTAGTGCATATTGCACTAGGAACTATTTCAATGGTCATTCATTCTGATGTCACATAAATGCAGTGGTATTGTTAATTTATTATAAATCCGTGCATTAATTATTCTCTATGCAATCATTTACAGTTGGGGGATTTAAGAGCATCGTCCTACCAATGTGAAAGGTGCTATACAAATGTAATTTTGTATTGTATCTCATTTCAATTGGAGCAGATTTTCCATTCTGATTTTGGTCAGATTGTGTGTTGGAAATTGCTATTCCTTACTCTCAGTGCACTCCATGCCCTTTATGCAGAATACTATTAGCAAGAGGATTAGCAATTGTACTGCACGTATTTCAAGTTTAATGAAGTTATAATCCCCACCAAATACTGAGCGATTCTACATATATTTAAATATTACATATATATATATATATTCATTGAATGTTTGAAGTTCATAAAATATTTACGGTAAATAAGTCTAAGAATATCATGGGCAAATCTAATCTCCATGCATATTTCTATGTGCACTAAAAGTAAAGGTAAGCTGCACACTCATGTAAGTTCAGGCATTGTTTTATCAAGTGAGTAGCTGAATCATACGGTCAAGGAATGTTATAAAGTAAAATACTATTCCTGAGCAATATATCTTTAGTTCTTCATAATAAGCAGGGCAACTAAAAATGCGAAATGAGTTTACTAAACTGGTGTTAATTTAGTATTATATCAAATACTAAAATATTGTTTGAAAGAAATAGAATATTGTGAATTTGGATACATTGAATGCTTTAAGACAAAGAGGAGCACATTTTCTGAAGTGCCCTATCAGATTGACTGATCTGAAACATTTCTAACGTGAGCTTCCTATAGTTGGAGAAATACAAGTACAAAAAAAAGCCATATAGTTTAATCAATATGAAACTTATGGCAATTTTCATCCCCATTGCATACAGTAATTATAGTGCAAATCAATTTGTTCCTGGAGATGAAAACAGCAATGCATGCACTTTCTTAACTGCGCTCCTGCAATAATGGAAAACATTGTTGGTTTATGTCCAGAGGTTTCGGGAACCACAACTAAAATCCACATTAAAAACAGGGTGTCAAATTCAAATCCAGATCCAATGCTTTTACCTTTTACAAAACAACAACAAAAAGATTCCATTTATAGAGCGCCTTTCACGTCGGGAGGACGTCCCAAGGCGCTGGAAAGTTGGGTCATGACCCGAGCAGGGGGGAAATGGTCAGGGTGAGGGGAGGGAAGGGAGGGAGCGAGGAGGGGGCAGAGAGTCGAGAGGGGAGCTGAAGGCGCGGTCAAAGAGAAAGGTCTTGAGACCGGCCTTGAAGGAGGAAAGGGAGGAAGCGGCGAAGGCACTGGGGGATGGAGTTCCAGAGCCTCGGGGCTGAGAGGCTGAAGGCCCGGCCACCGATGGTAGGGCGGTTGGGGCGGGGGAGGTGGAGCAGACCGGAGCCAGAGGAACGGAGGGTACGGGCAGGTAAGTAGGGGGATAGTAGGTCGGAGAGTTAGGACGGAGCAAGGCCGCGAATGGCCTTGTAGGTGAGGATGAGGATCTTGAATTCGATCCTCTGGGGGATGGGGAGCCAGTGGAGGCGAGCGAGGGTGGGAGTGATGTGGTCGCGAAGCCTGGTGCGGGACAGTACACGAGCTGCAGCTTGTGGAGGGAGGTGCCGGGAAGGCCGTCGAGGAGAGAGTTCCCATAGTCCAGCCTTGAGGTGATAAGGGCGTGGCCCAGAGTTTCAGCAGCGTGAGGGGTGAGGTAGTGGCGTAGTCTGGCGATGTTTCGGAGGTGAAGGAAGGCGGTGCCAGTTGTGGTGCGGATATGAGGAAGAAAGGACAGCTCAGGGTCGAACAGATGCCAAGGTTCCTGACTGGCTTTGAGAGGTGGAGAGTGCAGCCTTGGATGCTGATGCTGTCAGCGCCTGAGGTGCGGAGGCGCTGACGTGAGCCAATCAGGAGGGCCTCAGTTTTGCGCACGTTGAGCTGAAGAAAGTTGTCTCTCGTCCAGGACTCGATGTCAGACAGGCAGCTGTCAGGACATCGGTGGTCGTGGAGTTGAAGGTAGAGGAGGAAAGGTAGAGTTGGGTGTCATCCGCATACATGTGGAAGTTAACCCCATGTCTGCGGATGATGTCACCAAGGGGGAGCATATAGAGGGTGAAGAGGAGGGGACCGAGGACCTGAGGGACACCACATGAGACAGTACCGGGGCTGGAGAAAAAGCCATTTGTGGAAACAAAATGAAGACGGTGGGAGAGGTACGACCTAAACCACTCAAGGACAGGGCCTTGAAGGTTGAGGTGGGAGGAGAAGCGGTGGAGGAGGAAAGCGTGGTCGACCGTATCGAATGCTGCCGATAGGTCGAGGAGGACGAGGAGGTAGAGGGAGACCTGGTCGCAAATGGTCAAGATGTCATTGGTGACCTTGACCAGGGCGGTTTCTGTGCTATGGGCAGCACGGAAACCCGACTGAAGGGGTTCGAATAATGCATGGATGGAGAGGAAAGAGCGCAGCTGGGAGGCAACAACTCTTTCAAGGACGTTGGACAGGAAGGGGAGGTTGGAGATGGGCCGGTAGCTTGATAGCTGCGACGCATCAAGGGAGGGTTTTTTGAAAGTGGGAGTGATGATAGCAGTTTTTAGGTGAATGGGAATAGAGCCAGAGGAGAGGGACAGGTTGATGATGTCTGTGATAAGTGGGGCAAGGAGGTGGAGCTGAGAGATAAGGAGTGGAGTGGGGATGGGGTCAAGGGAGCAGGTGGTGGGTTTCAGGGACAGGATGAGTTTGGTGACAGAGGGGGGGGAAACGGGTTCGAAGGTGTGTAGGGGAGGATGGGTAGGAGTCGGAGTGTGGGAGGGAAGGGGTGGGGGTGGGTGGAAGTTGGAGGGGAGTGACCGCGGAGCGGATTCCCTTGATTTTGGATTCAAGGAAATCCAGCATCTCCTCGCAGTGAAGGTTGGAGGAGATGACCTGCGCGGGGTGGGGGGGGGGACGGAGGAGTCGGGATGTGGTAGAAAACAGAAGCCTGGGGTTGTTCTTCGCCTCCAGGATTATCCTGGAGTAGAAGGACGACTTGGCCGAGGCTAGAGTGGAGCGGTAGATTTTGAGGAGGTCCAGCCAGATTTGTCGGTGGACCGTTAGGCCAGATTTGAGGCAGGTGCATTCAGCGGCCCGCACCTGGCTCTTCAGTGAGCGGAGGTGGGTGGTGAACCAGGGGGAGGGGCAAGATGATGGGGGCAAGAGTGTCGAGTGTGGAGGAGAGGGTGTTGTGGAGGAGGATGAGAGCAGAAGAGGGGTCAGTGAGGGTTGAAGGCCAGAAGAAGAGGAGTTCAGAGGACTCCAAGGCAGCGGTTAGGGATTGTGGGGGTAACTTCTTCCAGGGGCGGTAGAAGATGGTGGTGGGTCTGGTGGAGGTGGGGAGGGGGTGGAGGTGGTGAAGGAGATGAAGTGGTGATCGGAGACGGCCTTGTCGGTAATGGTGACATTTTATAAGGCTACAGAGAAAGAAATCCTGACTGAGATGGTAGGCAGAAGAGATGAAAGGTAAAACTGCTTAAATGTAACCATCGCAATTCTTCCACCCACCCACCGCCCCCGGGAGAATGTTTGGATCTAAAATTAATTTCTAATTCTGTACAGGAAAGGAGCAAAAGTAACTCAAAGTAACATAAGCCTTTTACACTTGTAAACAAAAAAGTTATACTAAGCTGACAGAAATAATTCAGAGGCCAAGAAACTGTTATGATTTAGACTTTTATCCGAGTTATAACATAGGACTAGTGCAGAGAAATCTAAGCTTGTTTTGGTAGGAAACGGAAGGGACTCTGGTGGACGTACAAATTAAGACGATTATACGATTTATAAAGAGACAGCTTGTGCGAGTTTTACTGCATCTCCTAAATATTGTTGAATCAGCATAATTTATTAAAATACCCTAAACATCACAACAAAACCCCATAGACATAGATAGTAGAAGCTCCAACATTATACATTATGAAGAACTAAGGATACATTGCTCAGGAATAACATTTCATTCTACAAATTATTTTACGACTCAATTCTGATAACTGAGCACAGAAACCTTCCGTACCTGTATGACTCAGCGACACACTTGATAAAACAATGGCTTTAAAGGAATTGCTAGTAGTAAACTATTTAAAATATTCTGCCAAATAAATAAGCAACCTTGCTATAACCTGCAAAAACATTGTCAACAGACTTAGTACTTACTGATTAAACAGTATTCTGGAGCGAACAATGAATTTGAAGACGTATTCCAAAGCTTTCATAGCTTTGAATAGTTGGTCACTAACAGAAGGCTTCTCTGGATGCTCCACATAGGTTTTCAACACGGTGGTAAGTTTCCTGATTAAAAATTAATAAATCACTATTACTTATATGTTATGCTGCTTTGGTACATTAACAAAAATTACTAAAATGTCATGCAAATCGACCACAAAATAGACACAAAAAATTCTGTAAAAGGCTCCACCGCAATACTTCATTAGTACTCTGAACATGTCCATATCATTTCGAATTTTAATATTTAAACAAAGTAACAATTCCATTAAAGTAATCCAGTTTGAAACAACCCCATTTGTAGCATGGGAAAAAAAATGTACACAAGCACTTGATGTTCTGCAAGATTCAAAAGGGGCTTCATAAAACAAAAGCATCAAGATAAGGTTTCCTCCAGTGATTTTATACAGTACTCTCCCAAATGTTCTCATTTTGATTATTACTTCACTGGATGACTCACAGTTAATGTCTACCTACACCATGGATACTAGCAGTGCAGTCAGGGAGTTCAAAACATGTTTTATCACCAGAACTGAATATTGAGCAATACATTTAGAGAGGTATTCATCATCAAATGGAATATCTAATCATGACAGGCACAATTCAAATGACGAGTCGGTAAAGAAAAAGAATTGTAATGAGGACATTATATAAAAATACAGGATCAGCAGTAAAAAAAAAGCCTTTTAAATGGCATTACCAAACTAGTAAAAAGGGAAGTCTAATTCAATCCCTTAATCCGGACAACTTCATTGTTGAAGGAATTAAATAATTAGCCTCTCTGACTCACTTTCCTTTCAAAATTATTTTGAACCTACTTATGTCCCCAAACTCTTAACAGTAATAATATTTTAAGAACATAAGAAGGCATAGAGCAAAAAGCCAGCTGGTCTGTCACAAACCATGTGGAATTTCAGGTCAGCTACCATATCTACTGGGAAGTTTCTGCACAGATGGTGTGTCAGCCTGGCTCAGGGGTAGCATTTTCGCCTGGAAGTCAGAAGGCTATGGGTTCGAGCCCCACTACGGGACATGGAATCACATCATGAAAGATGACACTCCAAAACAGTTTTCGGGAGGCGGGGGAGTGTCCTGGCCAACAAATTCCCCAGTTAAAAAATTGGTCACTCACTCCATGCTTGTTTGTAGGACATTGCTGTGCATAAACTGGCTGCTGCATTTCGCTCAGAAAGTCAATACACTGACAGTATATTCTGTGAAGTGCTTTGAGACATTTCAATGACGTGATAAGGTGCTATATCAAATGCAATGTTTATTATTATATGGTATTCCTAATCCGCAAAGCAAATTTACAGACTATTCACCCATTTACATATATTAAACATGACTTTCTTTCCTCCATTTTGAAAATATTAACTTGACCTCTCACTACATTTTTTTGAGCAAGCAAGAGTGGCAGAGGCCAGGACATTGGACTCAACTGAAGAAACAGCTAGATATTGTAATAGAAAGTCAGTCGAGTGGGTATTCTGGAAAGATGAGATCAAATGAGCTGACCAGGAGCTGTACTGCTCAAAAGCACCAAACTCTAGGTCACTCTATACTGGCAAAAATGGAGTTTGTAAATGGAGTTTGTAAATCCTCTTTGTGATAGAGCCTTCAAGCAAATCCGTTGCACTTCTAGCTCGAAGTCTATGCAAGCTGGTTCGGTAGATAACCTTCACTATGAAGGATGCATGGCAATTGATACACATTGAAACTATTGGCATTGGAGGCAGAAAATGAATCAACCGGAACAAATCTACCCAGATTCAGGTTTCCATGAGCGGATGCTGAGGCGCGGAAGCAAAGAATGCATCATTAGAAGAGATGATGTCAGTGGCATTCAAATCTAGAACATCAGCCAAAACCATATATATCAAAGCTTTAAATTTACTTCCAAAAGGATTGTTCTCCAAAACTGTTAGAATTAGAAAAAAAAAGTAAGAAATTTGATTTCCCAGTTGTGTATACAACAAAGTGGAGTCCTGTAGCTCAGTGGTTAGAGCACTCGCCTTGCAAGCGAGACACCTGGGTTCAATTCCAGGCAGGGTGAAACTTTAGGCAGGTTTCCTTACTCCACACACCTAATAATAATCCCTCCAAACAAACAAAAAACAATAATAAATTGGTCATTTCAATCCACGACTGTTTGTGGGACACTGCTGTGTGCAATTGGCTGCTGCATTTCGCCCACAAATATACTGTCAATTCACTTTACAGCATATGCTGTGAAACGCTTTGAGACACCTCGAAGATGTGAAAAGCGCTATATCAATTGCAAGGATTATTATTAAAGGAGCCAAAGGAAACTACAAAAACAACATTTTGAACTGAAATTCATCTTTAGATACTTACGTGTAAGCTAAGGTTGCGCTAAAGTGCTTTTTGATGTAAGTTTCGAGAACTGGATTGAAGTGCTGGAATTTTCTATCAGCAATGAGTCCAATAATAAATACCTTTTGAAGAAATAAACACCAGAGGTTTTAGGCAAATTAGGATTCATAGAAACTCAATACAAGCATAGAATACAGTACAGCATAGAATACATCCCCCTCTTGCTACGAAAGGCAAGGTTCAGTTACCCTTCATTTCATTAAATGTACTTAAACAAGTCTGGTGGCAGTTACTGAAATATTTACATTGCTAATTAATCTTTTAAGGACACCGGCTGCATTATCTAACAATTTCAATATATTCAGTACTGATTATGTGTACCAGACTTCTGGACATTCCAGAAGTTCCACATTCTGAAAATGTAGAGAAAGTCATTTATACAGATGTTCTGAGACAGAACTGCACATATTTTCCAGTCCTCAATGGTGCTTAAAAGGCTACGTCTTGAAGTACATATCAGTTATTAACTGCATTGAGTACTGAATTATTCATTGAATTGATGGTTAGGATGTGGCAACAGTTAAATTTATAAAAAGATCTTACCAGAGCATCAAATACTAATGTATCAAATGTGTCACTGTCAGAATTCTCCATCATGATGTTAAAAAGTGCATCAAGTGTATCCTGTAAAAACTGAAAGAAAAATACATTAGCTGCTAGAAGATGAATGTACATAAACTTATATAAATGAATCGGTTGAGGTTCACCTTTTTCTTTCCCCTCAACCATTCTTCTTTTAACAGGAGAATCAATTATTTTGACGGAATTCATACAGAACATCAGTTTGCTCTGGTACATTTTGTTCTTGAAACCACAAGTCAAGATCATACAATTTTTTAAAAAAAGTACAAAGAAATCAATGGGCAAACAGACTTGCCTCCCGCGCCCCCATATACCTCTCCCTTCATCATTCTCTCACATTCCTGAATCCCTTCTCTCTCCAGAAACTCTTTGAGTTACCTCTTAATCTGATGCGTATGATCTGTCTTGTTTGATAACTTAATGCACAACTCAAAAATGTTTGCCTGAAGATATTTGGCTCAATTTCCCCTTTTATGCAACCTTCTAATATTTAATACTTGCATTCCCTGCAAGTTCTTTAAATTTAAATTCTTCACAATGGTGGATAATTTTCCCTTCATCAACTTTGTCAATCCCTTTCACGATTATAGAAATACAATTAGTTGAACTCTCTTCTAAACTGAAAAAAATCTTTAACCTTTATGATATCCATAATCATCTTGAATAATCATCTCTGCATCCTTTAAAAGGTCAATCAGTTTTCTCTTGTAACATGAGACACAACATCTCTCTCTCTTTGTGGCCATCTTTATTGCTTCTCTTGTTTTCTGCATTTCTAAACTTCTGCTGAAGCCTTGGATGACCTCCTTCCTGCCTTTGCTAAACTTCATCGGCAACTGATAATTCTCTGAATCTTCTGCAACTTCAGTTTACTAACAAATGCAGCAGCTCTTGTAAAAATAGCTTCTAAAATTAGCTGGATCATTAGCTGATATGATGGATTGATTGAAAATAGTGACTTTTTTATGAAAGAATAATGAGAAGAATGCTACAATCTCCATAAATGCTGGTTAAAATATATATGGATTTCTAATGCATCAAACCTCTCCTTTTGAATTTCATCGCAGTATATGTGGCTGCTGGATTGAGTTATTACAAATGCACATTATATGCACATAAACGTATATAAATGGAATATTAAAATGAATGCATATGAAATGCTATGCCACACCTTATTGATTTGCATATTACTGTATTGTCACCAAACACTGAAAAGAGATTAAAAACACAAAATACTGCAGATGCTGGAAATCTGAAACAAAAACAGAGAGAGCTGGGAAAACTCAACAAGTCAGGCAGCATCTATGAAGAAAGGAAAGTGAGTCAACGTTTCGGGTCCGTTCTGACGAAGGATTGTGGACCCGAAACGTTGACTCACTTTCCTTTCTCCATAGATGCTGCCTGACCTGCTGAGCTTTCCCAGCTCTCTCTGTTTTTGTTACTGAAAAGAGATTGCCCTATGCACCACACAAAAACTGAGGTTAAATTATTGATGAGACAGCAATGTTGCCAGCAATTATAGAATCAATCAATATGAATATAAATCAAATGTGACAGGTTGGAGGGGAAAGGGAATAATCTAGGGCATAATCTTAACCTTTTTATCCAAAATAAACTCGGAACAGTCAAAGGAATAGGAGCATATTTCTGCATATTTAAAAGTGAAGGCAATGAACAGATGAAGAAGATAAACAAACAGAACAGCTGGTTTCCAAATACTATACCGTTACTAAATCAACAACAAGAGAGGAAACACAGCACAGATACCAAAGGAATTCAAAGAAAGGGTAGAATAAACTGATTTTAAATACAGGGAAACGGAAAGAGTAGAAATATGAGATTAGGGTACAGTGAAATCTCACTATTAAGGTCATTCAATGACTGGCCTATTTTGCCCTTATTCGTGCATTTGGAATTTTGATGCCCACAGTTTTAAATGAAACTAATAAAACTGATAAAGTAGCCTGAAATTGTCCAAAAAGTTATGGCTCTACTCTAGTTAGATGTACTTGATCAACTTCAGCTAATTTATGAACCAAACAGCCTCCTCTTATACTGCAATTTCTATAATTCTATGATTCATATAGCTGTACACCCACATAATTGCAGAATAAAATACGTGATGAGATATGACACCTTTTGTGCTATTGTATAGCTAATGACTATATGTAGGAAAGCCTGATGTCAATGTGCGATGGTGAGCAGCTTTATATTGGTTGGGGCAGACATCCTTGAAAAACAAAATGAACTTTATTTTGGTCTGGCAGCATAGGAAGATTGTTTTTTTTTATTAATATAGAACTATTCAGGATCTGTTAGAAAACATTCAACTCGTCAAAGAAATGGGAATTTTCAGAAAGATATTTTTAAACCGTTTATCAAAAAAGAAAAATATCAGGCATCATTAAAAAGGAGATAATTACCTTAACCACTTCTCCTCCATCCACCTTCATAAGCTGTCTCAAATTCTGTTGCAGTAAATTTATGTTGGACCGCCATTTCAAAAGTCCCAGGAGATCCACTGTGAACAAAATGCAAACATTAAACATCTTTAATGGTCAGCAAAAGAAAGTATGTATAAAGCCAAATTGATACAACAGCAGAAGAAAGGGAATAGTGTTCAGCTGCCTGCTCATTTCCCTGCTTTCACATGGATGTTATAAGCAAATTGTTTTAAGCAAAAGCACAATTATGCCATATGATAAAATTTAAATTTATGTCCGCACTATTAACAATCCCACTTTTCCTGGAATTCACATAAATATTTCGAAATTCCAATACTCTTTTTGACCCTTTTTATATTCTCCAAGTAAGCTTAAACTATCTCCAATATGCTTCAATTATAGCATAATTGCTATAATTATGCTATAATTATGATTCAATACACTTCTAACAAGCAAAATTATCTTTTCTGCTAAAAAACAGGAATCTGAAACTTTGTAGGTTATTTTTTGATTTTTAAAAGTAGTACCCAATTGCAATTAACTCAGTAATTTTAGACACGAGGGTTTGAAAGATTAAGAGAATACTGAATGCTTATAAAGCTTGGAAAGATACAACTTTCAACACTTTAGCTAAAAGCCTGTAAGAATTGCTGAGAGAATGGGTACCTAAGTAATTTAACGTTATAGCATTAATAGATTGCCATTTATGATCGTTGGCGGTCATCATAACAGATGTCTAATAACAGTCTTCAGTATCTTGAAGGGTAGCAACATCAAGCCAAGCTAAAGTGTATAATCATATCTGAAGCTGATAGGGATACCTGTATAGATTAGTGTCCGTTTTAAGAGATGTTTTATTGCCAATCTATATTTTTTTAATCACAGTACAGTCATGTGTAAACCCTCACGACACAAGTAGATTGCTTCAAAATCCCAACTGGTCTCATCCAATGTCTAACAATAAAAGTTGCGCCATCACACAGATTTTTTTCTCCAACCTAATCCATTTCATACAATAGAACACTTCTATATATTCGCAAAAGAATGCCTTCCTATATGGTTCACTATTGTAATTCTTTTCCATCTTAATAATAATCCTTTGGTATAGCACTTTTCACATTGGGAGGACACCCAGAAGCACTTCACAAGATTTTCTGCAGACAAACATGTCAGCCAGTTTGAGCACAGCAATATCTCCCAAACAGCCATGAACAGCCATCTTAGCACTGTAGTGAAATGCATAAGATATTCTGAAACCTTTGTTCAAAGACAAATAAATTGTTGTATGAAAAGAAACACATGCATTACGAATGTGCATTACATCTAAACTGGCTCAGCGATGGAAGTAAAGTCAGGCACAACAACCCAATTGCAATATGAGCACACCCACGTACAATGGGTTTTGACTACAATTATTTTAGACAAAAGTCTAGGTTTTCACTGGAGGGATAGAGGAAGTTCAATAAATGTCTTCAAAATTTTGAAGTGTGTTGAAAGAATAAATTGTAAAAGTTTATTCCAGCTGATTGATAAACCAGTAAAAAAGGAGCACAATGTCAGAATTGCCACTGGCAACAACAACAAAATTGCATTTGGCAGAGTTAATTGGCAGGTTAGCAGAAATGTCTTTATACAAAGGGTTATTTGGACATGAAACAAACATCTGAACATTCCCACAAATAACTACTGAAACAGAAACCATAACATTTGAAGGTAGTTGGATAAGCATTTGAAGAGGAACAAGAGGTACAGGGAAAGAACAAGGTATTGGGATGATTTTACATAGCTTCAGCGAAGGAGATAGCACCAGCTTAGGCTTAATGGGCTTTTTCTGCCATTTCTGATTTCTAAACCGAGAATACAAGTTTCAGATATATCAATTCAGCAGTTCAAAAGGGCACAGGTTATGACGTGCAATTCTGGGATACACACCAGAAAGTCTTGCTTTAGCCAAAGCACAATCAACGACTGAAACAGATTTCCAGAAAGGGTTGAGGGCAGGGCACTGCACTTATAAGAAACAGTGTGATGCTATAATGGAATAATGGTAGGATTGGTATTCTGTGAAGATGAAATCAAAATCATCAGAACCTCTCATGTTCTGCCTATTAACTCAAGATATGTACACATCTGAAACACCAACCATAGGTCAAATTATCTGAAATCATGTGTGGATAAAAGAAATGTAACTGTTTCAGTATAATGTCCATCAAATCTGAATTGTCCATATACACAGCACCATTCAAACTGATTGCATGAGGGCATTTGATATTTCAAAAAGTTTTTATTATCTCTCAAAAGGGATGGAAACAGTTGTGTCACATAATAATACTAATAACCTCAGTACAACTTGCTCAAGGCCAAAATAATTGAGTTCTATTTTCAGTTGCTGGTGGAATATCAACTTGGCTTATTTTGGAAAAGATTCATTCACCATAAAGGGAAACTATCCGAAATACAACAGACATGTGTCTATGATGACTACATCTATTACTTACTGCCAACTAAAATTGATGTGAAATTGTCTCTATTTCTAAAATGTGCATTGTGTAGCCTCCAGTACACATTAAATATACAGTCTAATCAGTGAAGAATGCCAGTGGAGCAAATATTTTTGCAACAGCTGTCAAAAGAGCAGTATTCAAAGCAATGTTTAGTACATGCTTTAATGATCGTCAAAAATGAGAAATATGTAGGCTGCTTTGGAAATAATTGGATTTGGGTTAATTTCTATTTTTAAAGATGATTATGATTTTGAAAAGAGGAATAAATACAATATTTCTTAATACTTAAAGACACTAAGTCGTACTCATTGGAATGGTCCCAGATTGCAATTTGTATATGTTTGATTTAGAGGAGCTACAATTTGATTCCAATCTGCACGGAACTTTTTNACTTCAGATTTTAAAGATAACACAGTCATCAAATTCAACCTGCTACTTTGTCTTGAGTTTGAGGCACATCTAGATTATCAAATGAAATGACTTAAAAGCGCTCAACTGTAAATTTTGTCTTGGAAATCTCGAGCCTTACCATTCTGTGTGAGTTTTGTTGAACAGACCAAGGTGGAAATCTGAAACGAGTCTTTGCTAATGGGAAAGTTTCCAGTGCTGTGCATGTTCTTTCCAGTCAGGGTGTAACCCTTTTCTTCAAGTAACAGTTTAGTTGCTGTCAAATTTAAGTATAGCGATGCATCTTCTGGCTTTTTGGCATCCCACTGTGCACAAAAATAATGTCAGTGATCTTGGACACTACATAATGAAGCACACATCAACATATATTTTAAAATTGTCACTACTGTAAAATTACTAGTTCTCAAGTTCCTTCACTTGCCTCACAATTCACATAGGTAGAAAAGTATAAAACAAAAATCAGTGCAAAAGTTTCACAGTACCTTATACACTATTAGGTCATGTTCTCCATCCCTCAGTGTTGTTCCATCGAACCTCATTAGCTTGACAAATGCCAAGGCAAATATCTTTTCAGATTTGTCTTTGGCTGAAACAAGGAATGCAAAAGTAGGTTATTAATATTCCCCAATAATAGAATGCAACTAAATCAAAACCATTACAAATGCCTTCTAATAGAACACCCAACTTCTAAAGCCCAAAATTTGCAAACGCCCCCTCCAGTACAGCAAATATGCACCACCGTTCCAGTCGCTACCGAGCTGTGATACCCATGGCTTGGCCGTAAATGAATAAAAACTCAATAAACTAAATGTATTTTGTTGTCTGACCATAAAGGTTGGGGACCATAGCAGTAATGAAAACAATGCAAGGCTGAACACAATATCTCCAATTCGAATATGTCGCGAGTTAAGACCGCAGACTATTTTTTTTGAGTTTTATTCTCAGGTAACAATAATGACTGCAACAAAAAGAGGTACATTATACATCAGTGCATTATATGTACAAAGAGCAGTAACAATACTCACAATCCTGGGATGATCGATGCCGGAATGTGAACTTTAAATGACTACGATTAACATCTTCAATAGGGATTGCCACCTACAAAATCCAATCAGTCACGATTAAATATGGTCACAATTGTTCATTGAACAAAATTTTACCACAGTTTATTTAACCAAATTAAGCACACTACATACTCCTAGAAAATATTTACTTTGATTCCATTTAATAGTGTAGAACACAATAATCCTTGCATTTGATATAGCGCCTTATTACGACCGTCTCAACATACCTTGACTGTCTCAAACCAACGGGGCTGCTTCACTTGGTAGTAAATGACAGATTTATATTCAGAGATGCCTTCATCTCCAGCACCAGGAAAAATGACGTTCTTTTAAAAAAAAACACAATAGCAAGCATCAGTACTGAATAGGGGAATCAATAAAAAAAAACTTAAAATAATAAACAATTATTGGAATGCCCAAAAGATAACATTCATGTAAGACGATACAATTTAGGCACAGAATAGGGACAAATTTTATAATAATGGAAGGTGGAAAAAACGGCAGAGGCTTCAAGACTGAATTCACAAACAAGTAAACAAATACGATGTCCCACACAGATCAGTAGATCGCTAGTTCCGTCCAGTTCACTCTCGGTTTCATCTGTAGCAGCCATACCTCCAAACGCTTCCCTTCCTCGTCATACACAGTCATTGTGACTTCCACGTTTTTGGACGTTGTTTTGTTCCCTTTGTCAAAATCTCCTTGCACAAGTGTAACATAGATATCATTACGAACATCACCTAGGCAGAAGAACAGGGATTAAACGTTCTTTTAAGCATTTCATAGACTTTTAAGAGAAAAGATATGCCAGAACCACCTCAAAATTGTCAATAAAGAATTGATTATTAGTTAAAAGCAAATGCAGAAATATCTCTGTATTAATTAGTAATCAATATCAGACTGTAGGCATGGATTAACATTCATTGAATGTATTCTAGTATTCAAATGGTAACAGAAATTGCTAGCATGTCACATGGAAACAATTAATGATATCTTATATTGATGACTCTTCTACACTTACATTAGGTCCTACCACACCCTCCCCATTAAAGACTTCTTCCAGTGCTTGCTTGTCAGTTGTGCTGGCAGAAGTTGAGTGGGGTCCAAAGGACAATTTGCTGCCTCTGCGATTTCAAGATCCTCACCCTCGTATTTAAGTCCCTGCACTCCTCTGCACCCCCCTACTTCTCTGACCTCCTCTCTCCTCAGCACAGTACCCGTTGCCTTCGTTCCTCTGAGTCTAGCCTCTCCTTGTCCCCCGAGTCCTCCGCTCCAACCTTGCCTTCAGCCACTACGCCCCGAGGCTCTGGAACTGCCTTCCTCATTCCCTTCATCTCGCTCCCTCCCTTCCCATTTTCAGGTCTCTGCTGAAGACCTTTCTTTTCAACCGCGTGGTCACCTTCCCACCCCCCCTTCCCTCCCCCGGGCTCGGTGCCGGGATCATAAACTGTAAAGCGCTCTGAGACGCCGTCCGGCATGGAGGGCACTATATAAATCCAAGTTGTTGTTGTTGTACTATCTAAAGAGTGTGTGGAACATTACTTGGTTTGTTTATCGCTGTTGAAGCATTCCTGAATGCTCATTGCCTGACATGGAGTTACAGCTGTACTTTCTAATAGAACCAGACATCTATTTTCTGGAGGAATCAACTTTAATTTATTTTGTGTTACCAGGACAGCATTCCAACAAATAAAACTGTTATGACAACTCTCTGCTTAGGAAGTTTAATGCTTTACAACATTAAAAGGCAACACGAGAGGTGCTCCTGTTACAAACCATGACATGATTCAAATCCAAAGACCATAAACTGGCAATAATTGGGAGGCTAAAGATAAATTGATAGGAACCAAATTAAGCGAGGGACCAGAATGACTTGATACCAAGGCATAGACACTTCTGCTCAAAGAAAATGACAATGACTTAATTTTTTTTACCAAAAATGAACAGTTTAAAAGACTGATTTCACAGAACTGAGAATTGAGAACTACAATCCCTTTAAGACTGCGTAGAAAAACAGCATGATTTATTTGGAGTATATGTATAGGTAATGGTAGAATATGGATCTAAAAGTTGCATTTCAGAATAAAACCAAACAGTTGCAAAGTAGAGAATCACCTGATTAAAATAAAATGGGCATGATAGCTTCATTTTCTTCAAGGACACACGTTTGACAACAAAAATTTCCACTCCACAAGTAATGTCAAAGTATATCTTTATTGTGAAAGCTAAAGATATGAAGATTGGGGAAACAAAAAAAACAGTTGTGCCTTATGCCACAGGCCACACCCTCAATGTTTATATTTAGTGGATTTTAGCTTTTCATTGGAGAACTCAACATTACTGAAAATTTAATGCACTGAGATTTCTTACTCTCCCCCCATCCTCATCTCTTCCTCCATACAGGCATCACAACCTAGTAGTATGTTGACAAGATTTTAAACTGATGCACCAAGCACAAACTCAACAAAAGGTCTTCATGCTTAGCTTTAAGGAAAACATGGAATTGCATAAGTTATTAAAATGTGTTTGGGAATGCACAGCTGAAAAATGGCATCTCATTTACCTTGTAGTCGTGATTTGCTTATGGAGGAAAATGAGGACTAAATAGTGTAATTTGTCATGGAAATGTTTTCTGATCATCTGCAAAGTACTCTCACAAAAGTAGAAAACTGAAGAGTCTCTTTCCAGGATTCAGAGAAATGGGAATGCTTACTCACAGAAATGTTGTAATAGTTATAATAAATGTTCAGGGGTTTAAACTCAAGAGTGTAATCTCCATGCACATTTTTAACGAGTCCAGATAAAATGAAGCACAGTTTGAAATGTTCTTCAAACTCTGATACTGTTCGGGTGAAACAACAGCATCGAGTAAAAAAGGCAAAACAGATCAATGTCTCTTCACTGCAGTGTGAATTAAAATGGTATTACTTCACTGCACTGCCTTCAACTCTCAATGTCATCCTGAAACATCTCATTAGATCCACAGCTGTGTTCAATTCTTATGCAAATAAGAACTTTCACACAAATTACATCAGACAGGTCGGATCCTGCAACAAGAACGTTGACACACTCCTCAAATTTTACATGTACTTAAAATGTCTTCCAGGCATCCAAATGCAAGCTCAATCTTTGCTTATTCATTTCCCTCGACCACAGGGACAATTTGAAGAGTTGCAAAAGTATCTCTTTCCTGTAAGTGTTGGACAAACCTCACAAATGGAAGAGTTGTGGGGAAGAGGAAACACAGTTCTGGTAGCAGGGATTTGAAGAATTAAGAACTAGTATACCCCTATGCTTTTCATAGATGAATGACCCCAATTATCACCCTCTGCAAATGTAATTCTCCTACATTATATACACCAACACTGTACCAATCACCCAAAATATTTAGATGGCTTGCAGATTCAGGTTTTACTGCAACAAAACCTGCCTTTTACCCAGGAAATTCAAAAACAATCGGCTTACAATGTTGCATAGACTTACACTAAGCAAAGCTTTTAAGTTCATGCACATGAGACTCAAATTCTTAGCCCTTCACTAGAAAAAACAACTTTCCTGTTCCTCAAACATTGGCACAGACTTAAACATTTTTAGAACAACTTGCCCATCTCATTGCTAGTGGGAGAAACACTACAAAAATACTTTAACCTCTTTAAAGGTTTCCCATCATATTGGATGGGGGTTTAGCACCACCTCTATTAACAAAACATCAAAATCACAGATGTCACTCAATTGAGCATTCGTATCGGGTTTTTAAACACAGTGAACAAAAATGTGGGTCACTACGGGAATTTCACCATTGTTAAAACACATGAACAGATGATTAAAAACGCACCAGGCATTATTATTTCAGGGAAACCCATCTTCCTTGCAACTGCTGTTGACCTGTCAACCAGATGTGGAAAATCCTTTCGAATCTGATGAATATCTCCTGGGAGTAACTTCATGGTCACCCACAAACCTAGATGGAAGAAAAATAATACAATATGGAGAGGAAATACTACAAAAAATACTTTAATTGCTTTAAAGTTTTCCCATCATATTGCAGTGAGATTTAGTATCACCTCCAGTAACAAAACATCAAATCACGGTCATGCGTGTCCTTGTCCTCAGTACATCTGAAAACTAATTTTTGAAAAGGGGCAAAAGAACTGCATTTGAAATTCCTGTGGCAATACAGGCATACATTTTTGCCAAACCATTTCATGCTGGGATCAGCATTTTTATAAACCGCTAATGGAAACAGCCAAGCTTCAAATTGTTCAAGCGAAGAGTGAGGCGGAGGAGGAGAGATTACCCACAGAGGTCCACTGGGGGCGGTGCTGATCTGCATTTGCACTGCCAAACAGCCAGGAGCAGCCGAGGGCAGATATCACAAAAACACAGCAAGCAACCATATGCAGAATAATGCTTTCTGCCTACATCGTGATATGCATGAAAGGCAGTTTGAACCCTGATGAGTTTGAAGCCAAAAAAAAAACTGACTAAGCCACCGTGCTGCAGCAACAACAAAAAAAACCACATTCAAGGTTTATTTTTTGTGGAAAAAAATTTCAGGTTTCAAATGACCACAAAGATTCGGGTGAGGGTGTCTCTTTGGTCCATTTGATCTCATCTATAGACGCTTCTCACCCAACTTCACTGCCTTTCATTTATAATTACATCTAGTAATGAGGAGGAATTAAAAAAGATGGTATACAATTGTACAAAGATAGACATACATTTCCCATCACAATTTTTCCCTCTAAATATGCTGTCATATTTCCATTGGTCCTGTCCCTCACCGAAGTGGATATTGTTCATCTGTCAATCCAGACAGTGTCAGTAGGCTAGCCTTTATCAGATCATCAGTCAAGTTTGATTGTGCATTGACCTACATCTGTATTGTAAGGTTTCAGCAGATGATGACAAGATAGAAATCAGGAAAGTTGACAGGTTGTTGATTTTCCACTCAAGTCAGAAGCAGTGAGGTCAAATGTAGAACCCCAATAATTGCCACAAGCCAAGATCAGCTACTTAAACACAGACCATGGAGCTAACTTAACCCAGGACTTTCTAGGTCTGTAGGAGTCAATACATAAATAACATAACATGTAGGAGCAGGAGTACACCATTCGGCACTTCGAGCCTGCCCCCCATTCAATCATGGCTGCTCTTCTAATCTAACTCCAGCTAATAACACAACCCTGCCTTATCCCCATATCCCTTAATCCCTTTTGCAATAAGAAATCTATCTATCTCAGTCTTGAATATGTTCAAGGACTGAGCGTCAACAGCCTTTTGGAAGTCCAAATAGACCACATACCACATTAGGCATTGCATTTACTTACTGAAGCATCAGAGTTCTCAAAAGACATTTGATAGCTTGCTGCTAGGATGTGCTTACCATCAACATTCTCCCTTCAACATTCTGTAGACGCACAGCTTAAAATTGGTATTCTTAGGAATGTTATTCTTAAGCAGCAATACCACAATGATAAAATGCACTAAGATAAAATGTTTACTTAACAAAGCAGTAAACTCCAGTGTGTCAGCTTGACTTAGTTGGTAGCCTACTTGCCTTTGGGTCAAAAAGTTTGTGGTTTCAAGCTTCATATCAGGAATTTGAGCTCACAGTCTAGGCTAACACGCCAGCACAGTGTTAAGTAAGCTACATTATCAGAGGTTCTGTCCTTCACTGAGACAATAAAACAAGGTCACGTCGACCCATTCAAGTGGACATTGAAACTGATGGTCTTCGAAAAGAAGAGGGTGTTACTCTTAGTGTCCAGGTCAACAATCCTCCAGATAAACTGGTCATTTACTTCATGGCTGTGGGACATTTGATTGAACAAATATGCCAACAAATACACAGTCTGAGAACTTTTGGGAAGTTCAATATATAGTTGTCTATCAACAACACTGTATGTGGATTCTGGCTTTCCTTACTGGAAGCCAAAGGAATGAGAGGAGTGCTTTAGATGATTACTATTGCAAAATTAACTTGGAATATTATAAGAAAAACAGAATTTGTTTGGATGTTTATACATGTTTTCCGTACATTTTGTACTCTGCTCTGGGAAATACTAGAATTTGAATATGGGATTCATTCAGGTACTATCACCGCTTTGTTCAACACTACTCTATCCAACAGCTATCCCCCTGAGTAATGTGGTCCATTTTAAAATGGTCTGAAATCTGCCAATGGTACCGTGCCTCTTTTTTATTAATTGGGTTACTAGCTGCAACTAGATAGGTCATAAACTATATATGATTTCAATAGAATTGTAACAAGGTTTTGATGTTTAATCACTCTGGGTTATAAATCTCCCTCACATGATTGCCATTTTGGCAAAAACTGAAGACTAGGTTAATCACTCTCCTAATATACAAATGCCAAAGCATTTGACTTGAAGTCATTTCTGTAGCAAATACCATTTACCAGGGAAAAACAAACTGAGAATGTGCAGAGGAAGATGGGTGAATTTGTGTTTCATTCCAATTTAAAGCAAAATTGTTACAAATACCAGTTACCTGCAAGTAGATGTCACTACAAGGCAAATATGATGATGTTGAATACTATGGCTTGTGACAATAGAAGGGCACCACATAAACTTATCAACTAACTAAGGGAATTATTTTGCTTCATTAGTTCAATGCAGATCAATCCCTGATGTAGACTGGGCCTTTCTGCTCTGTTTACCAAGTTTAGCAAAGTTGTTGTATTCTTGTAAATCGCTAATGCAACTTTAAATTATAAATACAAATGCATCATAAATTATGCATAGAAAAGTACATTATTTATAAATGCATAAGTGAAGTTGTTAAACACAGCAAAGAAACAGAATAGCAGATTGAACTTTCTAAAACCCTACAGTTGTCAACAAACTACTTGCAAAATAAAAAATGTTTTAAAAGTTTCGGTGTCGAGAAGTTTAAAAATGTATGCATTAGAAAGTCTTTAAAAAGTCAAACTTCTCAAGAAAGCAGGTCACGGAACTTTACAAACACCAATAATTGAACTAAGAATGTTGAACAGCTTGAACATATTACAGGAACAGGAATCCATGCTTGGAGAACATTTCTTTAGTGGTTGTTTAATCTCAGAGGGCACAACATTAGAATTCACAGTTTGCAGTTTATAAAAAAGAGATCAGTTAGATTCTGCAATAGCACAATTTCCCATATTCCCCTCAAAACAATGTTGCTTACCTTGACCCTTGTGGTTCACTTCTTTGGCCGCAATAACTTTATTGATAACAGTCTGAAGGAAGTCATTCTCCCCTGCTACCCTGGGTGAAAAACGGGATGATATGTTCAGCTGCTTGTGTCGAATGGCGTCATCCAACGCTAGCCTGGAGGATGCACACGATAACCAACACCACAGGAAACAGAGGGACCAGAAGTCACAGTACAAGGGGGCACAGAAAACCATTGCAATAAATGCAACAAACAGTTATCATTAGCAACATACGACACAGGACAGATGGTTAACAAGAAAGATACAGGAAGATCAATTAATCAAGAAAATGCTGATTGCATGAGAATAAATGCAAATCTGCATCATTAACACAGAAATCTTCATGTTTAAAGTCCTCCCCCAGGAACATATGGAGAAAATAGCATCCAATATGCACATACAATCAGAATGAATTGTCTCCACAGAAGCTTTGTTGCAAAAATGCTTTCATACTGCAAAAGAGCCCTCCCAAGATCAGTGATCAGCTTCCAGAAGAAACACAAGTATTCATCTAACCGGCTCGTTCCCAGGATAGGAAAGAATTCTAAACTTAAAAGTTGCAATTAAAACAGCTCTGAATGAATGATCCAGATATGCTACACAATTTATGTTGAACTGACAAAAGTTTTAGTCCCTTTACGGCCAACTCTCTGGATTTACCTTTCAAAAGCCCATCATCTCATACTCTTCACCGCCGCTTTCAAAACCTTCCTTTTTGATCATGCCTTTGAGTCAATAACCTCGTTGGGGTGGAAACCCACCGTCCTTCAGTTTCCATTCACTACTTATAAAACAATTTGAGGCATGGCCATCGTTGAAAAACTATGTGATTGTTGCTACTGTTGTAATTAGGATTCTTGATCTTAAGTGGGCTCCAATGTTCTTCAGATCATTTTTTTAAAAATTATAAACACAAAAGTAAAGAGCCAGAAGAAACAAGTAGCAAAAATGTGCCAGATAATAAGTATTAATATTTAAGACTAGTTTCTTAACAACTCTGAAGGCTCTCAAACTTTAGAAAGATTGAAACTAGATTTGCACAATATATCTACAATTGACTTAAACCTGCACACACACCAAAAACATCCAGATATACATTCATGATAAAGACTAAACGCTAACTAGTTAACAATCACCCATGTATGAATAAAAATGTGACTGAAAGATTGAAAGATTTTTTTTACATTGTGGTATCTAACAGATGTGCAACTCAGTGTTACAAAGATCAATAATCTCAACACCTAAACTATACTGCAAGTATTAATTTGACTCTGTTTTTAAGCAACTGATCAATGAGGATAATGGTGAAAATTCAAAATACCCAATTACTGAAACATGTCGATAACAATAGAGCAGCAAAAGAACAGGAACAAAAACGTATTTGTAAATATACATATGCATTAGACATACATCAAAACTGAGTAATTAACCAATAGCATTATTCTCTACTATCGGAAGGAATCCCATAATGAGCACAGAAATTCAATATGTTATAATGAGGCACCAGTTATTCTTGACCAGGAATGCCAACAGAATGACCTAATATACATAACATAATATACTTAAAGTTACAGTTGTGATCAAAAGATGATTACCATCAAATCTAGCTGATCATTACTATATAATATATATATCTATCATGCTTGAAGAAGTCTTTAAAAAACACAGGCCAGTGGGGACTTGCAGGGCATTTGAATGAGACGACTGAATAAAACTGAGAAGGAAGGGGAGTAGAAATTTAAATAGAATTTTTGATACATTTTTATTCATCCTAAACTAGATTTTTTAAATACATTAATTTGAATCTGAATAATCTTTAATTTAACAATGAACAGGTTATCTGATTTGGGAAATCATCATCAAGGCACTTTCCCCTTAAAGATATTTCTCCTCAAAAGCTTAATCTCGCCAATTGTAAATAAATGCTTGCACTAAATATACCTCCTCAGTTATTACAAAGTAACATAGAAAGAGTCAGGCATGAGAATAGACTATTTGACACACTGAAGCGTTATAGTTTGATGCCGTTCAGATCGTGTCATCTAGTTGCATTTTCAATAACTTCTACCCATCCTCAATTTCTTATTCGGCATTTTACTGCAAAAATTAGTCACTGTTTCAGTTAAGATGGTTCCCTAACACATGCTGTGAATGTACATGTAAAACTTGACGATGGTCGGCTGGAGTTATTCATCTGCACCATTTAATAATTTACCCACTTCAACGTGTGGCCCTTATCCATTCCTTTCATTGGCATGAGACATTGGTTGTTCATCAAATAGCACTTGTCATCAGAGAACGACAATGGAGGCACGCAATAGAAGGACGTGATGTAAGTACTACAGGTGGAGAGGAAATGGTTCAAAAGCAGCCCTTTGGGTACATTAAATATTGCAGACCGTTTCATCTATATTTTTTGTTTTAAAGGGCGTTTTGTAAATATCTTGCACGCGAATGTAGGGACATCTCCATTAAGCTTTAAATACTCAAACAATTCGGACTTGTGCTTAGTTATTTGATAAGATTTTATAAGTGGAAAATAAGAGAATTACAGAGAGAGAAAAAAAAGACTGAAACTTTACATTTTGGAATGGCTAATGATGTTTCCAAGCTGTGATTTTCCAAGGCTTATTGTAGTGATATCACCAAGAGTTCTACGTCACCATTGCAATATCTTGGAAGAGCAACAGGAACACTCAAATATGAGGCAATGTTTTCCCCAAAATAAAGGTCTTTGGTGAATACTAACATGTGATTTTACAGTACATGGAATTGAATTGCTGAAATCTCATGTTCTTTACAATTTATTTCATGTTTTCTTCTAAATAAGTGGAAAGTGAGTAATTCATGTCGTCACAGGTTGCAGAGATCAGCTTTTTACATTTAAAAAGATTTTTTATACTCAATGCAATTTATCTTGATATCTTTGTAAGCTGATATCTAAATTGATTTTAATTAATATCACATACACCAGTAGAAGAAATTCTCTGAAATACCTATAAAAATCAATTCATATTTTTTCTAGTTAGAAAAAAATTGGATTGGTAGATTTTTTTATTGTTTGCAGCTACACTTAAGAAATTAATTTGTCTGTTTCAATTGAGCCTGATACTGTACATTAATTAAAACCACAAAGCAGCACAAATGTGCACCAATATCTTACATTCTAATTTTGATATCAGGTGACTGAAAATCACACTCTTTTATCCTGGCAAATTACAGGGCAATAGTAGATGCAATAACCAATTTGCATATTTGTTGTCATAGTAGATGCTATACATGATTACTGAAATATATTTGCAGCTTGGGATTGCAACCCCGGGTCTTTTTCCAAATCTCAGGTTTTTGGGATTTATTGCCCCAAATCCTTGGATACCGAGGTGCCAAAAGCACACTGAATTGACAGTGCAGCAAGCAGAGATGTAAAACAGCTAATTATTGATATAAAATGTGACACTTTCATTTAAGCTTAGCTTTCATATGTAATAGCATATTACTTGTTCTCCATATTGAAGTCAATTGTATAGCTCGGACACATCCCGAGTTCTTTCAACAAAATAAGCATGAGAGTTTGGAAGCACCAGAATGACAGAACAGAAACATGTGTAATGTGACACACTTCAAAGCTATGCCAAGCCACATAGGGAAGTGCAAATAGGCTAGGAGGAAATTTTACATTTGAGCTTCAAAGTATTGGAAAGAACACACAGAAAATAGGCAAACTGACATTTGTCCTTCTCACTCAACTTTTGCACGCAAAAAAGTGCATGCAGGTTTACAAGAACCTATAAACGTCATGGTTGTTGACCATCCTGCATACATTGACCCGAAATCAATTACCACCCCAGCTGTGAGGTCTATCCCTGATAGAACACATCTATGAAGAAGTGAAAGGAAATGCACCCTACCACCTTTTCCTTAACAATACATTTTCCCCAACATTAACAAAATGTCAGGAATGCTGAAGTTCTTTTGTCCACCTCCCCCCCCCAAAAAAAAAGTGTTTTAAGACATCCTCCTGATGTGAAAGGAGTTATATTAAATGCAAGGATTATTTCACATTCTTAAAATAAGAAGAAAGAATGGGACGCAATGTACTGCCTCCCTCTACCCCTAGCTCGGGGTCAGACTCTGCCACTGTCAAGCACTCTGGGACACTACCCCACATGAAGGACACTATATAAATGCAAGTTGTTGTTGTACTGCTTCTGCCACAGTTCTACCTACTTTGCCCAAATTAACCAGTTACTCAGAGATCTCCAATTAACTAATAACGCAGACAATTGATGTGAAATTATTATTCAAAAGATAGTGTGCAAACAAAACAGGTGGCTAAAACTGTGCAAGCCAATATAGGCCGTTTAACAACTACATGAATTACAAGTATACACTATCGATGTTGAACCATGGGTGAATAAATACATCCTTGAGCTGAAATAGCAGCTTTGGCTCAACTGGAAAAGGTTGGACTTTTATTCATATCAAAGTGGAATGTCCTGAGAGATTGGCACGGCATTCATTTTGAGGATATCCATGACTTATTACTGGAACAACTTGGCAGTCAGAGCAATAATATTTTGCAGCACATAATTCGATTCTCAACAATAGCCATGAATCTGGGTGACTGCCAGGTCAATCTGGGAGGATTACTTTGGACAAACCACACCCAATAAAGGCTAAACAAGTTTAGAGAAACTCATCAAAATAAAGGTTCTCATTTCACACGTGCATTTTCCTTTGTTCAGAATCTTTCCTTGGCCAAGGATAAACTTGACATGAATCTAGTAATTAATCTAGACCTAGAATACTACAGGTGAGTCGGCCGACGACTGTGAGAACAGAAACGTGCCTGAGGCACACAGTACAGGCAGTGAAAAGCAGACCTTTCTATCACTCTGTATCACGGAAAGAATGCCTCCAAATGTTTTGCGCCAAGATTTCTACAAAGGAAGTATGGTTTTCTTACTTGACAGGCTGTGAAGTGAAAGATTTCATTTAAGTGCCAGGACCAATCCATACCAGAAATGTTAAAAGGTTGCATTCGCTAGTTAACAATGATGGAGGTGGCTGTGAGGAATCTGATTCAAATAGAATTCAGCTCAACCAGCTCATCTTTCAGAGAGCAGCTCCTCTCATTCCAGATTCCTTACCTCATTAGCTGGGGCCAATAGAAAAGTACAGCCATAATTCTTCCACTGAATCCGCTGCAAAAAGCACCCCCGCCCCCATCGCTGTAAACCGCTTGTGTTTTTTTAAAAATACACTACGATCTTCTGCCACTATAAAACCGAGTAACCATGGAAATGTCCACTAGTAGTCACTTATTATTGCTATAATTTCAGATATAAAACTACAAGTTAGATTCAGAAATTGTAAATGCATCTGCTGGTTCTAGATAATCTGTCTTTTTGCTTTGAATCCTTGCCCCTATACCTCAATACCTGCTTGTGTGAATCAGTTGGACAGTCACACGTGCAAGGATTCTTTAGTGGTGTAAAAAAATATTGATGGATTCCCATGCTGCTAAAGTAAAAGCCCATGAATTATCTTTTTGTGTTACTGAAAAAATGAAGTGCGGACAAAACAAATCAGGAATTTTACTGATCTGTGAAAAACAATCTGTGCTGAACTCCTCGCTTCAACATGTTGCATACATAAGAGTTATAGATATGAGATACTTTTCAAAGGGATCAGAATTGCATGCAGCTGTAATTAATGTACCGATACCAAAACTTCTCAAAATAGCTAAAACTGTTTTAGTTAAGCAGCATGAAAGCAGAGTGTATGCTCCAATACACAGTGGTAGTAAATCATGGATTTGTGTCCAGAATTATCAACTGCAATTTATGAAACTCACCCTCAGGAAGTGGCAAGTGAAGACCAAATGCTTCCTTCAGCGATGCAACTTGTTCGGTTAAAGCTAAAAAGAGTCACTCTTAATGGACTCAAACATCTCATACTGGCTAATTCAAGAGTGGCATAATCCAGAGAATGAGTTTTCTGCTTGGTCTCTCAATTGGGGATAATGCATAAAGAATGAGAAAAAAAAACTTCTAAAGAAAGAGTCCTGTATCAAATTAGGATACTGTACTTGCACGGAATCCATCATCTTGTAAAAAGCACACTAAAGAAGGTAGTTGCGGTATTTTAGGTGATAAGGGCAGTACAACAAACGTTTTTTATGATTGAATTGTGTACAATTTTAAAGTCATGATATCTATCACATTTTCCTTCGTGGCAACTTATATTAGCACATTTATAGACTACGTGCGTATCCAACCTCAGTTTAGGTGAAGAAGCCACAAAATGTAAGCAGATGTTATCTCTTTACAAAGATTAATGAACAAAACAAATAATTTCTTCTGACAGTAGAATGTCAGACAATTTCCTGATCAACCCAGACATTAGCTACTTACGGTTGGAATGGAATGAAGTGCTGTTTGTCCTCGTCGTCAACTTTGCCTTTGATTATGTCAGTGACATCCATGACTGAAATTAACAGAAAGTGGGAAGACAAAATTTAACTGCCTTCTTTACAAAAAGTAAAGATGACTGCTTCAGGATATTTTAAATCCCAGTAATTTTTACATTTAGCAAACTACAATCCATTTATTTCATTTACCTCCGATAAGGAAATGTAGTTTGTTGTACTCTCACCTCCTAGTCAGAAAGCCGTGGACTAAAGCCTGTGTCAGAACTTTGAACTCATATAGTCTTTGACATTCCAATGCAATGCTTGGGGTAAGTTGCATTGTTGGAGGTGCCATCCTTCAGCTAAAATATTAACCCAAGATCTCATCAGCCTGTTTCAGATGGACGTTAAAGATCCCGTGGCACTACATGAAGAGAAGGGAATTTCTCTCGGTTTCCTGGCCTACAATCGCCCCAATAAAATTGGTCATTCACTTCATGGTAGTTCATGGAATACTGCTATGTGTAACTTGGGTGTCACATTTGCCTAAAAATAATATTGGCACTACACAGTACAGTGGATCCTGTGAAGTGCTTTGAGACATCCTTCCAATGTGAAAGGCACTATATCAAATGCAAGGATTATTATTATCATTATTATTCTGAGAATAGTCAAAAATAATCCCTCGGGATAAGGATTCCGTTCCTCGGGGGTCCATATTGAACAGGAATCAATCGTTCTAATTTTGCTCAATTTAGGAATACTTACTCAGAGAAGTACTTTTGGAAATTAAATAGATGAAGTAGGCTATGATTATGATGGGGACTATGATGGTCTGTGGAATCACTCTGCTTCCTGGGCCAAATAGAACGTCCTAAAACCAAATCTGGGGTTATATAAATCCCATCTATGATGAGCATCTTATGTCTAATCATAAAATATCTTGGGTAAGAAGACGCACACACAACAACTCCAAACTGTTATATTATTGAAGACTGAAACATTTTTCCATTTGAATCAAAATAATGCTGGATGGAATTTGTTCTGAACAAGAAAAGCTTGAGAAAGTGCTGATAGATTTATGTTCTGTTGCCTCCAGCTAAATTCAGGGTTACAAGTTGAGTGCAAGACTTCCATTTGACTCCTTAGAGAAGGTATGAGAATGTGTGCCATAATCCTCAGCATCTATCAAAGTGGTTTCCTATATCATTCTGGCTGCTTAATAAAACCTGCTGCAACTTCAGATCTTGGGACAGCTTATATCCTATTTAAATTGCACTAAAATATGGAAAACACTGCAACTTTCACTTTTAGACAAACATGCTGAGGTCCTTACCAGAGTTTCAGATAAACGTTTGATTCAGTTTACATGCTGTAGCGCAATTTAGTTTCTTAATATTTTAACCTTCTTTTGATACAGTATTATCACATTAATAAATTGAAGTACAACACTTTCTTTCAACCCGCAATCTTGAGGCCTTCTATGCCAGTTACAACATTGCTTACTTTCATGGGTAGAAAAAAAGAGTAGAAGGAGCAATGTGAGCACCTAGGAACATCCATGACCATCCCAGTCAATTGATTGACAAGTTATTTTTTAATAATAATAATCCTTGCATTTGATATAGCGCTTTCACGTCGGGAGGACGTCCCAAAGCGCTTCACAGAACACACTGTAAAGTGAATTGACTGTATATTTGTGGGCGAACGCGGCAGCCAATTGCGCACAGCAATGTCCCACAAACAGTCGTAGATTGAAAATGACCAATTTATTATTGGTTTTTTTTGGAGGGATTATTATTAGGCTCTGTGTGGAGTAAGGAAACTTGCCCAAGGTTTCGCCCTGACCTGCCTGGAATTGAACTCAGGTCTCTCGCTTACAAAGCGAGTGCTCTAACCACTGAGCTACAGGACTCCACCATGAAAATCTTGAAACAGTTGCATACTTTTATAGACCATTCAGTCCAGAAGCTTATTATACTAGTTAAATATTTGAAGAGAGCCTGGAGAAAGAAACTAAAATGACTATTTTGTTAAGTCTTCAAATAATCCTAATGATTAATAAGATACTTTTTTACCTGCTACTCCAAAGGGTCTTCGCAGCCCAGAAGTGAATTTCTTTAAATTATTGTCCTTCAGCTCCATGCGACCCACTCTCACAATTTGGCACACAAAACTGATTTTTTCTCTTTTAAGATCTTTGCTGCCAAGGTCCTGTAAGAAATTGAGATATTCCAGTCATTCATTTTACATGATACAACATTTCATTAAAAAAAGTAGAGCTAAAGTTTTTAATGAAAAAGCAGAACTTGTAGTTAATTTTTTTTTGATCAGCCGGGTGTCTGACACTTGCACAAACCCATCACCGTGCTTAAGAGTATCCAGACCAAGCTGAGATTTCCATGCATCCCACCAAAACATGGAAATCCCAGAGACAGATTGATGGGATGCGAACTCTCTCCCTGGAGGACGACCTCCTGCTTACCTGATTCCAGAAAGTATTAGGCGAAGGGTGGCAAGAGTCAAGGCTTGGGGACCCCAAAGTGTGTTTTGGGATACTGCTGGAGTCAAACCAGCTAGATAATTTGCAGTAAAGTGTGATGAAAATAAATAGCTATGGCTGTTTATCATAAAAAATATTTTAAAAATACCGTAAATACAGCTCGGAGGTTGTTTAATCGGTCTATTTCTTTTGGAAGCCCTGAGCTTGCCCATCGAACCAGGTAGTTTTCACTGCAAGAAAACAAAAGTCACTTAAACACAGATTGCTTCAAATTCAAACACAGTTGCCATTGCCTGCAGTGCTGCCTCCATTCACTTTAATCAGTCGTTGCCTCTATTCACTACTTCCTCTTCCCTTCAGTAAATTAAATAAAATGTGCATGAATGTTTAATTTGGATTTTGACATGCCAAGAACCATTCTGGTTCTATACAATTGAATGCTAAAATATACACAAGAAATATACGACTGACCACTCTGTAGTGCTATTCAATCCATGTGAAAGTTTGCAAGGATGTTACACAATTGTACACAAATATAGTTTGCAGAATTTAGCAAAGAGATCAGCAATCATAAAATCATAATATGAAATGCTTTATAGAAATAAACTATTGAGGTCAGAGTAATTTCCACTTGGTTGATGGCTACCGCATAAACATTGCAATGCGATTTGCTCTAAATGCATGCATTTTTGTTTTATAATGAGTTCACATTCCTTGAACAGCAATCTTTATTTATCTAAGGCTCAAAAATAAGATTCACTTATTTACGAAGGAAAATGATAATGATGTTCACAATCTGACTGTTGTATAATTTGAATCGCCTGCAATTCCAATACACAAGAAACTCCTACGTTAAAACACTTAAGAGTTTAATTGCAAAATAACAATAAGAATAATTAAGGTAATTCTCCACTCCCATTTTATTTTCAAAGGAGTTAGTAGAAACAAATTATGCATATATTGAAACATAAAATTTCAACACAGAAGTAAAGATTTTCTGCATGTTTTACTTCAGCCTTATGTCAGTCAAATCTACAAAGCTGCGTTGAAATTTATAAGAGCAAAATACAGTCTATTTCAGGGACTTGCTGTGAAATCTCAGAACATACAAGTGTTCTTCCTTAACAGATTATTAATACAGTAAAACTCTGGGCCCAAAGCCAATTTTTTTTCATTTCCATTCGCCTGTATATAAACTCCCGTCAGCCCACTAGCTAAGTGTGTGTCCACCCCCCAACTGTGCTTGCTAATTTGACTGAAGGGACCAGGGATATTTACTTATTTGCTATCTTCAGCTCGCAGGATTCAAATAACTACGGTGCTGATGCTGGCATTAATCAACACTGAATAAAAGCCGGCGAATGTCGGTACCGGCATTGTAAATACACAGTCAGAAATTCCAGCTCGCCAGACCGCATCTCGCTCCATTAGTCTGGCTTGCCAGGGTTTTAGTGTACATGAAATCGCCATGCCAATAACTAAACAGAATTCCAATATTAAAGCAGCGGTAAGTCATCCTGTCAAAATGAATCTCGTCACCAACCTGATAAACTTGGATTCACCAGGGTCGTATAAAGACATTAAGACTTCAGCATCTTCTCCTATTTTGCAGACAACGTTCTTCAGAGTCACAAACAGACCAAAGGAAGGTGTGGCAGCAAATTTGGCTTGTCGATTTATATCAATATTTTGCTTCTGTGACTACAAATAAAATAAGCAAGAGTTACTTTCTAAATGTGAGCACGGATCCAACCACATATTAAACCTGCACAGAATGTAGCAATATGGGTCCATGATTAATAAAATATCCAGAGTTATTTGTCTATGGTTACAAAAACATGCCAAACCTAAACTAGTAATTCATAGTTCAGTCTCTGAGGAACTCATTCAGAAAATCTGTGTAGCAATCTAGAGTTTATTTACATAAGCTACGCTAGCACAGACAGACTGGCAAACAAGACCAGAACTATCCCATGGAGATAATAAAAGATGAGGAGTTACATTTTTTTTATAAACACAATCTTCTTTCCTTGCATGAATCTGAAAAGCTTGCAGTACTATGGAGCTTAAAATTACTGATCTTGCATAATGTGGCTGCAACATTAAGTTTTCAAATTGACAGCCACGCCTCATTAAAACATCTTTCATAAAAGCATCTTGGGGCAAAGTAATGGAGAATATCATATTAATTTTGTAGCTGTTCCTTTACAGATGGCAGATTCTTCAAAAAAGGGAGTGAAGTGAGCAAATTGGAGGGGGTGAGCAAAATCACAAATAAACTTTCATTGTCCCCAAGGTAGAATACTAGTTCCCTCTACCAGCTTCGCCAGTAATCAAGACTCTATGGATGACACTTTATTTTGTAAAACAAGTTCCACTCATCACCAAACAATGAAGTAAAATTCTGGTTTAGTGCATCCGCAAGGCAATTCATTATCAACTGAAAAATTAAACTGAGCAAACTCAGGTTAATTCTAGCATTTGTACAATTAATCAGGGTTGCCACATACATTAAATCATTGCAGCAATGAAGAGGATGCTTAACTGCTAAACAAATCAGATGGCTCAACTCTAGAGCATGCACATTGGGCAGTGACAATTAAAACAGATTTACTGCCTCAGCAAATTTGATATCTACTGGCAAGAGGGGATTTTACAGCTCTCCAAATAAAACCTGCAATAAAAAAGGAATTAAGCTACATTGATAAAGACTTGCCCTCAAGTGCAGGTGAAAGACAAAGCAGTTTAAGCATTTGCTGAACCTGGTCTAGACCTCAGGGGACAGTTTATTGGATGACTTTTTTTCCACGAAAGGAGTCAAGAGTTTAATAATGGAAAGCTACTTGCCATACTCAGGGAAATGGCTTAAGGTGACAGCTAAGTGTCTATATCTGCATGCCAACAATTCTTTTTCCCCCACAAAGAAACTCCCAAGCTTCATCTTAAATTTGGTGACAATATCGGCTTCCACTTTTTCACAAGCAATGTGTTCCACATATCCACCATTCTGTGCAAACATGTTAAATCTAGCACCAAATATAATAAATATACTCGACTTAGAGCCCTGTACTAGCCAAAATGGTCACACATTGAAATAAATCCCCAAACTGAGCAAGATATAGCCAGCTTATGTTCTTATCATTTTATGAAAATCTTTTTTCATTGAACGTGGACAAAAACATCTTTTGAAATAAGTTTAATTGAAAAATATTATTGCACAAAGTATTCCAGCACAAAATTTCATTGTACTACATGAGTGGATTTGCCCAATTTAGATTTTTGTAGTGAATTTAGATGGAATAATTTACAGGAAACAACAACTGCGTACAAACCAGAACTGGCATGAGCAAAATTGGCACATTGCTAGGTTATGGAGACTGGCACCATACTTGCAATAAATTTAACTTGCATTGTCTTCATATGTGAGACAAGCTTCCAAGTATACAACTTTTTTTAAAAAAAATAAACATGGGGTTCAATTTATACTTGGACATCTGAAGTGTGGAAGATCCTAAATCAGAGAGATGCCAAAAATATTAACATGTTTTATCTGACCAACAGCTGTGAATACTTTTTGTTTCCTGTGTTCAAAGGAGGTTAAGCATTCTGGGACACTACCCCGAGTGAAGGGCACTATATAAATGCAAGTTATTGTTGTTGTTCTTCGGTTTGTCTGAATAAAAATAATAAATAATCCTTGCATTTGATATAGCGCCTTTCACGTCTTCTAGGCATCTCAAAGCGCTTCACAGAATATACTGCAACGCACAGCAGTGTCAGCAGTGTCCCACAAACAGTCATGGATTGAGTGACCAAATTATTATTGTTTTTTTCTTGAGGGATTTTTATCAGGCATGTGGAGTAAGGAAACTTGCCCATGGCTGTGCCCTGCCGGGAATCGAACTCAGGTCTCTCGCTTGAGAGGTGAGTGCTCTAACCACTGAGCTACGGGACTTCACCTGCATAAGCAGAACAGATGGCAACTTAAAAGCAATAAAGCTTCAGTGTCATCAACAGTCACTTATCACTGAGAGCTGATTAGGTCTCCTGCAGTATCTCATACATAAATTCTATACATTTTCGTCAGTACAAAGAAATGTCATTAATTTCTACACAACCAATAATCTTGCTCCTAGCTTTATCCTTAAATCTATAGTGGGTATAGTTGCTGCTGCTGATCAATCAGTTAACTGAAAACTCCCAGCCGTCATTTCAACATTCTTGGCTCGACCAACCTGACCCAGGCTGGAGCCAGTTAAGAATTTTTTTCAGAATGGTTTCTTTTATATTGACATTTATATGGCTCAGAATTTATCCTAAAATCCTTCAGTCCCCACTAGAGGATTTTGATCATTAATGAAAATCCATTTGAATTGACGGTACAAACAAATATTTCAATACTGTTACTTATGAGGGCCTTGATAAGGAATTATAAAGAATAATGATATCAGGAAATTGGATTGACAGTTTCCATTTCTGCATGCCGCCATGCCCAGTATTTAACTCCCATTCCCTTATTTCCAAGGGATAATGTGAAAATGGTTCATAGAAATACAGAAACAGGAGTAGACCATTCAACCCCTCGAGCCTGTTCCGCCATTCTATAAGATCATGGCTGATCTGTATCTCAAATACAATTACCCACCTTTGCCGTATCCCCTAATACCCTGACCTAAAAAATATCTATGTTCACACTCATTTTTAAATCTTACCTAAACACAAACCAAAACCAGATATCTGTCAACATAATAAGCAGGAAATATTGTTTAAAAAAATTAAAATGACTGTAAATAGCTTTGCAGTCTGAGGAACACAGTAATGCTTCCCAGACACAAGCAACAAGGGTTTGCACCGATGGAATTTGCACACAGCTCATCTGTGGTCAAAAAGTAGAATTACCTTTTCTTCCCGTATTCTTTCCTCTATTTGTTTTGATGCCATTTCATGTGCTCTAAATAGACTGATGGTACTGCTTTCGTCAGGGTCTAATATGTTGCCATCTTCATCTCGTACCACCAAGTCCAGATCAAGAATTCTGGAAATTAAATCAGAATAGCATTGTTGTAGTAATCTATACAAATAACTCTTGCTTATAGTGTAGTAGCCTGGGTCAAATATCTCATCAACCAAGTTATTAGCAAAATGCGAATAAATGGGTTGTCAGGTCACCGCTGTTTTTCTTGCATGCGGGGCAAAGGAAGTGACTTTACAGCACATCTTGTGGATAGTGTGCAATGCAGAGTGATTGGCATCAGCAGCTTCCTGATAACCCGGAATCCAGCTATCATATATGCACAGAAGGCTGGCCTTCAAACACATCAATTGGCCAGAAATAAGTACGATTAATCTGGGAGGAAATATGGATTTCTCCCATGTTGTTATTTTATTCAACATGTGCAATTGTACAGCTAATATCCAGCTAAGTGCACATTAGCTGCTCAGGCAGATTGTTCCTTAGAATCTCCACTCACTTTCTGAGAAACATGTGACCACAAAATTCATGTGCTGCTCACAATTTATGCTTAAAATATCTTCAGTCATAAAGGTAACCCAGCTCAAACCCACTTTGTTTTTAAAAAAAACTGAACAAAGAGTAATAGAGTGGCTCTACCAATCCCAGACAACTACTTCCACTAATTGTGCCATTGAAAGTATCCTCTGAATATTATTCAGCAAAATCAATCATACTCCATGCGCAGGTCAAACAAATCAAGAATATCGCAACACACAGTCCTTAAAACAAAGTCTTGGACCTTCCTGACTTTTGGAATTATCCCATGTATTCTACTGCTCTTCATTGAACACTTTCTGAGAAACGACTGAGAATATTTAATCAATTTTTGTCTGCTTTCATTGTCACAACTGTTAATATGTAAATTTATTGCTGAAAGCAGCTTTCCACGCAGCTATATAGAGATGAGATTATCTCTATTCCCTGCATATTTCTCAAGGTTATTGTACCACTGGGATATTAGCATTCTAATAATGGTTTTAAAAAAATAAGATATGCATATGGGGTTTGGAGGAAAATCTGGCATGTTAACTAAGTCATTAGCGCTTCGATGATTATATGCATGTTGAAGAATAGGTTTTAAATAAGTATATTAAAATACAGGAACAAATTATTGATTATATATATATTAAAAAATGGTATCAATGGACTCTATTTTGATAACAATCAGAAGACCTTTAGTTTGGAACTCAATACATGAACATCCAGATAATATTTGAAAATCAACCAGCAAAAGGGTAAATAATCAATGAAATAGCACGAGCTAGGCAAATAGTCAGACTTGGCACAAGGCGCCCAAACATTTATAATACACCAACACTTTAACTCTTGGCTCTATGTTCATTCCTTTCATCCAAACAGAATCCTTCATTTGTATTGAGTGTGCACCTGTTGGACATGATCTGCACTCGTCTCCAATCAGAATATTTGATGACGAGATGTTTTCTGGAAACTCAAAAGACCAGAAAACTCAAATAGCTCAGGAAATTTCTTATAGATTTCAAAAACTTCAGATTTCATAAACAACTGCATTGTGAAAGAGTAATATTCATAGTTATAGATGAATGCCAAATAATCTGTCTTGTTTCTTTACTTGCCTTTGTTTAAAACTGACCTCCTTTATATCACTCCATTGCTAATTTATAGTATTATCTATTTCACCATGGTGTTACTTTATTCGTTATTGTTACTTTTATGTTGTAATGTATCAGTTATAATCACCAACCTTAATACACCCACACGTTTATGAAAGGATTGTTTTGACTTTTATAAATGTTCAACAGTGGCCAGTGGGTTATTGACTCAAAAAGTATTGCAATCACTGTTAAATGAATGTTAAGGTACATCATTCTTGTACGGTTGTTTAAAAGGGAAGGGAAGCAACTAGCCTTCTGTTTTAAGTACTCTCCCTGCTACATCCTGAGGACATTTAACTCAACAAAAAACCTAAGGAGCAATGGTTAAACGAGGTACACAACAACAACAACATGCATTTACACAGCGCCCTTCACGCGGGGTAGTGTCCTGGAGCGCTAGACAATCTTTTCTAAAAACGAATGGAATTCCATTCTCTACAAAGCTATTTTATTTTAAAATTGCATGTGGTTATGAAATTAATCCTCAATTCAGCCTCTTTCCTCATCCGGTTAAAGACTCAATGATGAGGCACTCACACTTCAAACTTCCACAAGCAATGCTAAAGAACCATATCGTTCATCTGAAATAATAATTGCTCAGTTTAATTAGCAGATTATTTAACACAGTCAAACAGACCTGTTGCCATAATCTATTTTGGCAGTGACTTTCTGCTTCAGTTCCTTTAGCTCATCTTGCGGGAGCGTTCCAGAAAGAATCTGCGATCGCCACTCAATAAGATCGTACATCATATGTCTAACTCGGCTGAACATCTCTCGGTTGTCGTTCTGAAATAAGAAACATAGACATGCTCGCATAAAACTTCAGAAATACATTGAAAGGAAAGCAGGAAACCTGTTCTGTTAAAGATGGGTACAAGTGTTGCAATTGTATATTCAGATTACAAAGTTTGTATCAATCCAGGATTGTCCTGCCTCAGTGTAAAATTGGGAAGGGATTTATATACAAGATTTTAATAACATGGTACGACAACTCACTGCAATACATCCAAAATTGTAGCTGAATAAACATCATGCTCAGTAGAAACTATTGCCATTTGTTACTGGTGTGAAGATAAGGAAGGGACAGAATATCAATCAGTTGATTTTTTTCGTTGTTATTAAGCAAGAAATCGGCAAGTGCTACATAAAAGCAATCTAGTAAGGAGCTGCAAAGAAATTCAAAACAAGCAATGCGTTCAGAATTCAAACTGAAAATACATCCTTCGCAATGTTAAACAGCATGTAAATCTACACAGGAGGTCTGGATATTGCACAAATACTGGAAGAAAAAAAACAATGAATATAAAAAAAAATCCTTCACTCCCTTCAGTATGGTAATAATCCCTTAAAAAATCCACAACTGTTTTGTGCGACACTGCTGTGTGCAATTGGCTGCCGCGTTTCACCCACAAAAGTATAAAAGACATGATAAAGCACAATATCAAATGCAAAGATTATTATTATAAGAAAAATACAACAAACGTCAGTTTCTAATAAGCTTTCTAGTGCTCCACAAATGACAATCGCTACCGAATTTCTCTGCAGCTTCTCCAAAAATCATAAGGATTTCCATTTTAATGCAACAAGTGCACACATTATCTTGAACACACTTGTGGACTGAAGACAAAAATGAACAAAGGGAGAGAAGGCTCGAGAACCAAAACAAAAAAGTAAACTAAGAGGAATGAACGTAACAGCAGAATGTCAAGAATGCAGAGTAAGAGACGAAACAGCAGTGCTGAAGTGATCAAAATTATAAATATAAGCAGGATTCATTTTTCTTGTTTCATGCACAAAAGTACAAATTACAAAATGTACTTCAGTTGCAATTATTTTGGAAGGAATTTCCTCTCCTATTTCCGAAGATTTTGCAAAGAAAAATAAAGAAGAACCAAAAATTTTAGAAAATCCGAGATTATGTGTTGAGCCCCTATGTCAGGGCTTTGAGTTCACAAACCAGACAGATAACCCCAACACAATACTTGAGGAAATATTGCATTGTCGGAGTTGTTGCCCTTTCAGATTAGACCTTAACCCTAAGTCCCACCTGTGCCTGTTCGGGCAAACGTTAAAGATCCTGTAACATAAATGGAAAAAGGGGAGTTTCTCCTGATGCCCTGGATGACCATCCTGCAGATACATTTGTCATTCAATTCATTCTATTAGTGGGACATGTCTGTGTGCAAATTGGCAGCTACATATATAGTCATTACATTTTACAGCAAAACTGAAACACGTTGAGATGTTTCAACATGTAAGGGGCTGTAACAAATGTAATTATTGTCAACAATATATTCCCATGCTATGTCAAATATGCATTGAAGTATCCCTAACTCAGCACAGGAATAAAACTCATCATAAGATATATTTTTACTTACCACATACAACTGCCGCCATATGGCAGACCATTCCCGAAGGGTTGTTGTGACTTCCTGAACCAGTGGAAGCTCATTTGGGATAACTGTTTCATGTTGCCTTGAAGAAAATAAAAATCAGTACAATTAAATTCATAGTTCCCTTTTGTTTTGAACTCCTAACATCTTCATTCATCTTCAAGAGATGTCTAAAATGATTTAAAATGTTAAAAAATTTAGATAAATTAAAGTGACTCTTCCAAATATCCCTAATAAGATTCCAAACCAGGACAGACATATTAATAGCATTGCAATATGGAAACCTCGAATTTTCACAGCAGCACCATGGATTAAAATCAGATAAGTGCTATCTCTAGAGGCTATGAACTCCACCTCCCAACTGCAATAAAACAGTGGGTACAAATGCTCATTCTTCACAACTGGATTCGCAAATATTGAATCCTGCCAGGAACCAGAAATGTATCATCCTGGAGTGCATTGCATTGAAGCGGATTTCGCTCTACTCCCCACCACCTAATATTTAATAATAATATTTGTTATTATTTAATATTTATTATTTAATATTATCTAATATTTGTGAATCCAATTGCAAGTGTCATGCTTTTGACCCCAGTTGCCACCAAAAATCCATAATCCACCCTTGCAGACCGCAATGTAGTGTGTGTGTACGTCCATATAGAGGGGGAAGAAGAGAAAAGAGAGCGATTCTTGCTTGCTTGCTGTATAGACCTGACTAAATCACAGAAATGCATATTTGTCAGGAAAACTGTTGCAAATCACAACATTTTACAGATGCTTATAGAATGGCGGAACAGTCTCAATGGAATGAATGGCCTACTCCTGTTTCTATGTGTCTAAGCTTGGAGATGCACAATTCTTCAGCTGATCCAGCTGTTAGAGAATCAACCTCCTGCACCAGGACTTAAACCTTTCAAATGCACTTATGCAATACAAGTGCAGCCTGAAATGTTGATGCTGTGACTGATAAATGGAAGTCATGAATCGTTCTTCATGGTATATTAAGTGTTTGCATCCATTACAGATAATGTAATGGGAAAAAAAGTGATTCACAGGCAATACAATATTACTATGAAAAATTGACAGGAGATTTTACAGTACAGAACACTGAATGGATGTGGGATATCTCACTATGTTAGCTGTATATGGATCCACTGATAGAACAAACAACTGTAGATGGAATAACCAACTTCAAAACCATAAAAAGCCTTTCCTACAATGTTCTAAGTAGTTTTGGTTGCCTTCATTATTGAGCATAAACCAATTGTTTTCTTTTTTTAAAAAAATGTTCCTAATATAGTAGTTCAGGAGTTGAAAGTGGTCTTTTTTTTAAAAAAAATGGCACAAACCAACACAGGAAACATCAGGTAACTCGTCACTCTAAGGGAAGTGGGCTCAAATGCAAGCTATCCAGAGTGGCGAGTTAGGCACAAGTCTTCCAGGGCCACAAGGTGGTGTTGTGATGCTGCAACTGGTGCAGGTACTCAGGGGATGTTGGGTGTGCATGCTCAGATGTATCACAGAGGCCTTTGGTCTGTTGCCTGGTAGGGACAATGGAGGTTTTGGAGAGGACCTCCAATAGACTAGAGGCCTCTGCAATGCATCTGAGCATGCGGACCCAACCTCCGCTGAGCGCCCACACCAGCCATAGGATAGGATTTGCGATGCAAAACACCATGTTTTTGGATGAATTTCTAGAATGCATCAAGTTACGTGTTAAGCGGAGGGACAAGTAATGCAAAGTCCCTTTTTAATATTTTGCATGAGGAGCAGCCAGAATATTGACAGCATTAAGTGACAGTGACACCTTAAGCCAGGGTCATGTTATCCAGAGTTTATTGCATTTACACTCGGGCAAAATGTGGTTTGACAGCATTCATTTACATTTTGATTGGTGTCGCTGGTGTATGGTAGTCCTTTTAAAACGTTGCGCTTATTTGTTATTCATGACTTGAAGTACTCATTAAACGAGTGCAGTTTAATAGATGCTTTGGTAAAATGATCAGCATCATTAATAGTCAGGCAACAGCAATACTGAGGTTTTTACCTCATAGCAAACAGGAGTTTGCATAAACAAAATTGACCACAGAGAGTTAACCAAGTCCAAAGGTTCAGCACAGCAACACATGGTTGAATTCAAGTATACCAAAATATGTAGCTCCCATTTTATTTTTTTCATATTTAAAAGATATACAAATTCGTATAAATGAATGATTTCAAAGTTTCCCTCTCCACGAGATGTGGCACTGCAAATAAAGTCTGCCATCAGTCACTCATCTCCTTAGAGACTGCTGAACCCATTTATAGTATTTACGGCATATCTGACAAATCAAACTGATTATATGCTGTGTATCGTGGGAGCAATCTTGTGTTGTTGCTTTATGACTGGTGAAACGGAACTACTGGTGAGCATTAAACCCATATGTAAATTTATAGATTGTAGCTTTGGAAGAAAGATTGGATCAAATCCTTCAATTGCAATATGCAAATAGACTAGGCTAAAATGGATGACAGTGGGAGTAATTTGAGATAATAAATTAAGAGTATTACACAAAATAAGTGTAATTCTTCCATAATAAAGACTAAATATGCCTAGTGACAGCAAGTATTTATTTCAAAGATTCATAACTGAAAATAGATTTCCAAATAGCTTCCAATTGTTCTAAAACAAATTAGCGCAATTCTGGAAAAATCATATTGGCACTTTACTTTTCACAAAACATTATTACCTCCAAGTTATAAAATGAATGACACTATATTATATTGCTAAAAATAAACCAATTAATTTCCAAAAGAGATGGGATTACTTTAAACCCATTTTTAACAACTTGAATTCTGAACTGCCAATCCCCTCCTCCTCACATGATCTTCTAAAATCTAACAGTTCTCTGTTTGATATTTGCCTAAACCCAAGACCACACTTCAGTCAACTGTCAGGAACATGTACTCTAATACACATGCATAATTTTGCCACCGAAATTTCACAGCATGTAGTAAGAAAAAGAAACCCTTCATAAAAAAACTTGAACACATGTTTGATTATGACAAGTTAAGATTCTTCTGTAATTGTAGAAAAAATAATTCAGCCAAGCACATGCATTTTTCTTACAAATACACAAGCAATCATCGCGAATCGACTATAAAATGATTTTGAATTGAATACTGGTATTGCACAATGTTAATACTAATAATCATTCGCGTAGACATTACTAATTCAATGAGAATAAAATTGGGCATACATGCAACCGTTGTCATGGCCTTCCTTTCTGTGAATAAAAAAAATTACAGGTCACCACAGAAACAAGTGCATCAGGTGATGCAATTTCTACTTCAGTTTTCCTGAGGAACCCACAATGGACTAGGGATTATTTTTGTCTGACACCATTCTGCAAAGATACTACATTAAACATGTTATTTTTCCCAGGTGAGAGCTAGATAATTAGGTGTGCAGTATTTTATCTATTGGCTGCCTACTGAATTTCTTCCGTCAGAACTTTACTGACCTTCAATGTGATAGATTTGCCCAGCTGATGTAAGAAGGGTGAAGGCAAAGAGCTATCAGCACCAAATCGCAAAGCAGTCCTACATCAACAGTTAATCAATTGATAACTAGTGCCATATGAAGCTGTGCGTTACGATTATCTAACGTTCACATAGTTACATATAATTGTAAAGCACATTTTGTGCAATTACATACAAAGTCAACAGCCTCTTAAGGGAACTGAGGCCAATTATTTCAACACCGTGAGTTAGACAGGGCTAAATAGATACACCAGCTTAAAAATACTGAAGATGGCACAAAGCTTCTTTGTGTTCATATATACATTGCAATGCCTGTAACATTTCATTATATTTCTACCAATAAATAGCACTATTCTTGAAGCAAAGCCTTGAACTAGTCTTTTTGTGTATGTGTGTAATTTTGTCAATACTTTTCAACAATCTACAATGGGACTTACGATGAAATGGTGCGAGATAAGAAATAAGTCAGACTGCTTCTTTAGTTTTGTATTGTTCTGTTCGTTCCTTTTATTTCACAACGTGTCGCAGTATAAGATGGAAATCAAATTGACCATTGGACGGCTGTGCTCCATCAAAAGTACACTTTGTCTATAGGAGCAAATTTACCATTCTGAAAACATGCTGGGGAAAGGCTGATGCTAATGAGAATTCAGGAATCAGTAGCTAAGTGTTTCTGTTTGTGTTTTTAAAAACATTGTAGACTGAAGGAAGATGGAATATATATATATATATATATAACATTTAAAATTAAGTAGGAGCCAAGGATTTCCAGTCTCGACATCCTGGGAAAAAATGAAACTAGGAAATTCCTAATTTTAAGAGATTAACGAAGCAAAAGTGCATATAGGAAGACATGTTTGGAGCTTGGGAAGACCAACAGGAATGTTCTCAGTTCCAATAAAATTCAGAAATGTGGGGAAATGAGGGAAAGAAGCTAAAGTCACTTTAAGCTAAAGTGTGTTTTATGTATTCAGACCAGGAATTTAAGATAAATGCTCAAAGACTCTCTCAGGAAATGGCTACTGTATTCAATTCGTGAAAAGTTAAGAATTGAGGTATGGAGGAGGGGCAAGGAGAAAGAAAAATGTTTGGTCAAAACGATCTGACATTAAGGGGAGCAGTCCAAGATTTCTTCCACAATTAGAGCAAACACATGTTTTAGATGATTAAATCAGTTGAGGTCTACATCGAAAAAGATCAATGTAGGGATGTAATTAGCAAAGTCTAATATAGGCAATTACATGAAAGAAAATACAGCAGCTGTTCCACAAATCCCAAGACTCTCCCATTAGAATGCTGCTTTCAGTCTCTGAAAAACCAGCAATGTCCACAAACATTGCTTTTATTACTCCTTAAGTTTTACGCTAAGAGCCTTTTTAACAAGGCTGCTTCTGGGAATATACAGATCCAGTTTATAGTGACCGGCATGCCACACAGTTTTGAGTATTGTGCAGCATAGGTTTGGAGCAGCACATAATCCTTATTCCTTGCCCCCAAAACAAAGTGAATTTGGCCATTGCAAACAGTTTGACATTTTTCATTTCTCACATCATCCATTGTGCCCTCCGTAAACGCAGCAGTCAATTTAGTGCTAAAATTCAGAGAAGTTCTGCACTGTGAGCATGCACGCGCACACACACACAAAGAAACTGTACTGAAACTGCCCAAACTCATTTTATCCAACATAGGAGAATTTCATCCCTTCAGCCCTAGCTCAAAATTATCGGAAAATACACTTCTTATTTCACGTGGGTTCTGATAGGTACAGTATAAATCGTAAACGACTTGCCAATTTATTTATATTTTATGTACAGTATTCAGTTTTATATGGTCAGTATCACTTAATTTGCATTTCTGCAAAACATATCCTTTGGAGTTGAAACAACTTCAGTTTCAAACCCAAAAAGATACAACATCGTTACTGCAGCTAGGTGTGTGCTCTAACAAATGACATAACAACAACTGACAGGACTTCAACGTTTTATAATGAAAGTCAATTCTAACCACAAAACATTGTTACGTGTTCGAATTATATAACTCACCCTTTTCCTTCGACAGTTGCTTCCTTCAGGTGAATATATGAAGCAGGAAAAATACCCTAAAAACAAAAAAAATTAATCAAAAGAGACATTTTATCACTTCTTAATTTAAATGATACTTCAAAAAATTGTTGTGATCTGTGCTTGGAGAATGCATAATACTAGCCTTCAAAAACAAATTGCAGTACATGGTCTGCCTCCACGTAAATTAATGTGTTCATTAACAAACCAGGACATCAAATTAATCAAATGTCACAGTAAATGCTCCAAAGCTGCAATGGGACAATTTCATTATGGCCCTCAGCTAATACATTGTAACAAAACGTACTTTCTCCAAAAAGACAGCAATTTACAAAGACACATATTTCAGTAACTCTTTATGGTCACTTGAAGACACAAAAAAGACATTTAGGAAGCCCTATTGGATAAGACTTGCACACTAATGAACTGTGAAGTAGGCCTGTAAATGTCTCAAGTGACCTGCGTTCATGATTTCCTTTGCCAGCCTTCAAATTTACTTATCATCTTGACATTGCACAATCCTGTTGACTTTTTTATATAAAAAAGCAAAAACAGTGTTGTCAACTCTATTTTTCACCTTTAAAGACTTATGTAGACAGTAAGTATCCCTAGGATAAAGCTGCACATATTAAGCTGCACATGTTAAGATAAAATGTAGTTTGCTTTAAGAATGGGACAGACATAGATATTAATATACCCTCACATTATAAAACTACATTTAAAAGTACAATCTTCATTCACTGCATAGTTTACATGATTATACTTACAGCAACTGAATTACTGATGCCCTTCTACTAAGCAACACAAGTTAATTTTCTTTATAAAATAAAGTGCAGTGAATTTGAGTGCTCTCCAAATGCCTCATAAATAATAAATAGTTCAAACAATGACTAAGAGCCACAAGTTGTGCTTGTTATGAGCACTTATATCTACTTCAATTTGACATCTGATTTTCCTGTTCTCCCCCACTACCCCCCTCCACTTCAGTTCAAATGATCGGTGGCCGGATTTGGAATGTAGTCAATTGTTCTGTTAAAAAAACCCTAAAAAGTGCAAAGATGATACTGGATTTTTGTTTCAGAACCACAAAGGGAACTTCTTTGATAAATTTGGTGATATTCTTTGTGCTGCACAAAGAGATAAAATTACAATCCGATAATAATAATAATAATAATCCTTGCATTTGATATATAGCGCTTTTCACGTCTTCTAGAGGTCCCAAAGCGCTTCACAGAATATACTGTAAAGTGAATTGACTGTACATTTGTGGGCGAATGCGGCAGCCAATTGCGCACAGCAATGTCCCACAAACAGTCATGGATTGAAAATGAGCAATTTATTATTGTTTTTGGTTTCGGAGGGATTATTATTAGGCTCTGTGTGGAGTAAGGAAACTTCCCCAAGGTTTCGCCCTGACCTGCCTGGAATTGAACTCAGGTCTCTCACTTGCAAAGCGAGTGCTCTAACCACTAAGCTACAGGACTCCACACGGATGGAACAGTAAGTTCTCACCCAAGCACAGTGATATGAAATGGTGATGAAGCATACTAAAATAGGAATATTTACTTGGTGCAGGAAACAATAGATGGAGCACCACTTAAATTGCAAGGAAAGACTGATAGGATAAATAGGTTTCTTCTTATTCTTCTTACCTTTTCATGCAATATTCCAGTTTGCAGGATCATTTTACCATTTTTTTGGATCACCTGTTGGCTCACTTCAAATATAGGTCACATGGCATCAAATTAATGGCAAAGCACACCCTACGGTATTCATCAATAGAACTTGGCAAAGAGATTTTAAAACACTCACCTTTTTCACCTTACGTCGTAGTGTGTAACCCCTGAACCAACCTTAAAAAGAAAAATATATTTTTAAAAACTTGCATATGAATCTACTTATCGCATTTTGCATAACCTTTACACAGCACATCCCAATTCTGTGATTTTTTTATATAAATTAAATGGACATGTAAAAAGCCGTCAAATGTTTGGAATCAATCAGAAGGGCAGCTATCATCTTTGTCTCCATCCTGTACGTTCCTATACAGACTAAAACAAGACGCAGAAAGAAAAATGCGATTAATATTAAAGTTATCACAAATTTTGAACACAATTCTTACATACTTCATTAAAATAGTCAAGGCTATATTTCAGGAGGTCGAGTCTAGTTACGGTGTTTTCAACTGCAGTATTTCTATGTGCTTATGCATATAACTACACTTGGAACAAATTTGTTGTTGAATCTTATATTGATAAGCCTTAATTAGTCAAAATGATATTGTTCTTCTATATCATTTGTAATTCTGTAGTTATCCTAAAGGTTTTTAGTCACGGGAGAGAATTGGCCAGTTCCAGAGTAAAACACACTCTCTCTGCCTATGTCCATAGTCTTCCAGCGCTATGAGGAGATGAGAGGGACAAAATGCATATCTATGTTTCCAATGATGATCCAAGCAGACTGATCAATCAACAGTGCCCTAAAATACTGTGGACGTGCACACTGAATCACAAAAAACTGAGACAGCTTCAGCAGGTGTGTGTCACCTTGCAACAAGCTTCACCCCAGGAAGAACCCACTTACCTTCTCACTCCTTTGCCCCACCCTCCCTAGGATGGATAGACACAAGCAGCTCGATCAAAAAGAAAATAGGACAAAAGAGTACTTACTTCCAGGATCAAACTCCTCACCTTCAGGTCTTTTTTCAGTTTGCATCATAAATAAAGACACACAAAGGTTACTGGAACATGAATGTGTGGATGTTCAAACCCCATAACTAAAACCATGCGTAGTGCTCCACTGGCAAGTAATAACAAACTCATTTTTTAATATTATTGAAGAGCTGATCTGACAACTGTAATAGCTTTAAAAAATGGCAAAGTGAAAGTTCAGGGAAGATCCAATGGAATGGCCTTGAAAGCACAATATAAAGTGAACTTTAATTCTTCTATGTTATTGTAGGAAAACACCCATTCTGAAAGATGCTGGGAGAGTAAATCAACTGGCCTTTGACCACCTCAAAAAGGTCATATGGTGTTTGGGAGAGAAATATAACAGAACCACCAACTACTACTATTTGTGAAAGTTGTTGTATTATTGCAAATTAATAAATCTCCTTTGAAGATATTCATTCTGAGCAGCATCCAAATTAAATCATCAGAGTATTTGCAATACAATCGCAAGACTAGTCCATTGGCTTCTTTCTACTCGTTGTCACATTAACTGGCTCTTTAATAATATTAAAAGTCATCCCTTTAAAAAAGTTCTAGGACAGATGGATAAAATTAGCTTTAAATTCAACCGGGTTTGGAAACCAAGACAAAATTTCAGTTACTGAAATATTCCCACAGCAATTCGCAGAACCTCATCAATGTGCTTCCATTCCCCTCTTCTGGTGGACTATTTTGAAGAACAGATAGTTTTCCAGTTGTAATTTTTCACCAAAAACGATCAATTGACCATTGCAACTTGCAGCACAGACTAACTTAAGCATTTCCCTACATAACTAGTCACTGTACAAAGCACCTGAAGACATATCAATATCAAAGGCAAATATGATTTGAATGTACAGATCCTACACCAGTTGTTACAGTTTCTAGCTTGAGGCAATGGTGGAAAAGTGATCAAAGAGAGTATTGTGAATGCCTAAGCAGAGTCCATTGCCTATATTGCCTCGCTGTGTGATCTGAACCCATTTCTTCCCATTCAAGTTCAGAGAAGCTCATTACATTTCCAGCTCTGTCTTTATTCAGTTATTACTTACACAGCACTGTGTCAATTATATCCTAGCTCCGCATTTCTCTTCCCTATTCATCCAACATTACCACAAGCACAATATTATCTCATAGTTCCAAGCTCAGCTCACCTGAGCATCATTATCAATCATCAAAATACATTGGAGTCCTGTTATAATGCAGTGTTAGGGATTCATAAAATTCCAACATGCGCAACTGGGGGGTGATTGCCAGATTCATTGTGTATGGTTGCAGCCAGACAGCTCACACCCAGCACATGGACTAGTCTGTTTGCTAGGTAAAAAAAATTGCCGACTTACGTATCATTAGGTCACCACTGACGTGACTTTTCTGTGTGGTGCACAAACAAAGGAGCAAGTAATGTCAGTGGCAAAATGATGACCCAATGATAAAACAGGCTTTTATTAGTGCAGCAAGCCAAATGGCTAATAGGATAGAATTCCACTGTACACCACCTTCAGACTAACGTCATACAAGAAATAAGCAACAACAAATGCTTCAATTTCACACAGCGAGTTGTTCGGATCTGTAATGCATTGCCTGAAAGGGTGATGGGAGCCGATTCAATAACAAATTTTAAGAAAGAAGCAGATAATTAGTTGGGGAGGACAAGTTTGCAGGGCTATGGGTAGAGAGCAGAGGAGTGAGATTGATTTGGATAGCTGTTTTCAAAGGCCAGCACAGACCCGATGGGCCGAATGGCCTTCTTCTGTGCTGTATAATTCTGTGATTCTATGAAAGAACTGATGGGTTTTAATTCTTTCTTCCAGAAAACAGCAAATACTAAACTGGTCAAGCAACCACTTCCATACAGCAACCACCCCCTGTTAGCAACCACTCTGGAATAGCCCCTTCAGTGTGTGTTCACTTCACACACCAACAAACCTTTACTCAGATGCCACCCTTATAAAAAAAAGGCCACTCTGGCCCAATCCCCCGAGAGTGTATTTAAGACAGATTTGGCTACTTAGACATTGTTCTATAACAGGAGCGCACTCTGGACAGCTGTCTGTGAGCTTAGCTTTGATGGATTTTATTACATTCATGAATTAAAGAACAAAATATAGCACCCAAGGTCAACAGTTAGTGTAAAGTACTCCACTAAACCACATCTTTACTTAACATCTCAAATAGAGAATTTAATTTTTAAAAAGACAAATAAATCAGGAAACTTCTGAAAGAAACAAAATTCTGAAACAGCATGTGGAGCATGTCATTAGCATAGAAGCACCTATTAATCCACATCCAGTCCAGCATTCTCAAAATGTGCTTGGAATTTCAAATGCATTTAATTGCTAAAATTAATCCAGACGGATCCATGCCCTCAATAAAGCATTTCAAGGTCAGCTCTTTGTTACTGATATTCATTCTGAAGCATAAAAACACATGGCGTTTTCTTTTGAAGCTGACTGCATTCTTGGGCTATTAATTATGTAAAACTAACATTCTGTATACGAACAGGACCTTTAGCATGGAGGTCAAAGTCTAGGAAAGTCACAACACGGACATCCTATTGTATGGTTATACTGCCAGGAATACAATATGGTGATAAAGAGGAGGATGCTCAGTTTACAATGTCTGCTCTCCATTGCTTGGGAGGGGGTCAGTTGGAAATGTTTTTTGATGTTGTTGAATTCTAAAATAGACACAATGAAGAACAGCACAATGGCACAAGTGTTCCAAATTCACTCTTGGCACAGGATGTTTACACCAATAATTCATCATGATCACAGCTGCATTGCAGGGAGATGAAAGAAGCCAGGTGTTTTCCACCCCCCACCCCCCCAAATGAAGCAAGAGATTGGATTATAATAAAAATGCAACACTCAAAAATAATGGCTTGCTTTTGTACACCTTCTAGCAAGCAAAATACAGCAGCAATACTGGAGGCAGCCTGGGAACAAGTCTCCTGCCTATACTCTTGGCAGGGATGGAAGCATGGTACGGGTTTAGGGAGAGATAGGGTGTAGAAATTAGACTTTGAAAAACAAGTTCCCCACCACAGTACAAAACAGACATCTCTGTAATACTTAGTATGCCATGTGGACACATTTGGAAAGGGCAAACTGCCAAGATCCATTTAGAATTTGAGAAATGTGTATGTTAAAGTTATAGATGCTGCAGATTGATTGGAAGAGACAATAATTTGTAAGAATTTATACTGGGATTTTAGACATTAGAATACATCAATGCATAACAGTGTAATAATGGACATCTCGAGGTGAATTTTACATTTCTAGTAATAATACTAAACTGTTTGACAGGAATAATATCCTTTAAGTGGAATTAGTAGAGCCTAAACAAAATAGTAAAATTATATTAAGCTTCAATGTTGCATTGTATCCAAAGATGTTTGATCAGGTGAGGTTCGAAATCAATTCCAAGCCTTCTTCAAATGAGGGACACACTGCTTGATTTTGCTTTAATACTAAAGTTTCGGGAGACAAGCTGCAAGTAATAGAATTAGGGCATTAAGCATGCCGGGTTGTATCTTATCCATCAATCGTAGTTTACTGCTCGACAATGTGAAGATAAACAACATGAGGCAAAGGAGGTAGAGCCTGCTTCTGGCTCTGGATGAAAGCATGATAAATCACTGTTTCTACACTGTCCATGGGGGGTTTTGTTATGAATGAGCATTCTCACATTATTCAATTATGGGTCAACTCAGGTTAGAAACAAAGAAATTTACAAATTTAACATGAAACATAAGCAGATGTTCAAAATTGTGCATTGTTCTGTGGGCTGGGTTGTAAATGAGTCACCTACAGAATGTTTCAGATGTGAGAAATAATAAATTAATGAATTCACACCTGTGAAACACTTAACAGAAGTACACAGTATTCCAAAATTTAAAGACATGATTAATGTTCCACCATGTACTCACACCAGAGCAACTGAATAAACAGCATGCAGAACCCATTGTGTTCTAAACAAACTATTACACATCCAAAGGACAATATAAGATGTTCTCTAACAATTAATTAATGAATTAACTTCTACCATGCAAGAGGTGCATAATGGCCACTTTCACATAACAGCCTAAAGGTGCATAATAGCACTTTCACTTGATTTCAACAGTATTCCTCCGACATAGTTACATTTATTACTTGGAAGCTCCCTGATACCTCAGCAGGTCAAGATCTTGTAAAGCTAAGTCATACGCATCTAAAAGATCCCAGGTTAAGTCTTCAAATACTCCAGAGTTGGTTGATGTCAATGCTCAGCTGATAGAACTCAATGACCAGCATTGAGCAGAGTGAGCGAAGGTCCAGGATAACTCTTCTCTCTATTCTATATCCCTACAACAGAGCAGTTGAAGCTGAGAAGTAAATACTGCAGATGTGAACCCTTAGCTTATCATTGCTTGGCACAAAGCTACAAAGCAAGAGATAGAAACATTTCTAGAAACCAAGTCAGTTTGATCCTTTGAGTGACTCTATAAGCTACAAGATTCAATCACAGAAGAACAGCAAGTGGCTTACGGTCCCAAACTTTTGAAAATACCAACTACAAGTTTAAACTTTAGATTCCTCAAATACAGCATTTGTACTTGCCTTCATAGGTCTCCAGTATGTGCACTGTATCACCAATCTCCAGTGCAAGTTCCACTTCTTCTCTGGAGTCATAATTGTATATAGCTGAAAACAGAAAATTTTACATTTAAGTCTGTATTTGCTAAATTTATTATACAAAAAAATCACAATATATTCATCATCAGTACCTACGTTCACATTTCTATTTAGCATTGTCTAAACATTTCCAGTCCAAAACAACCCAATTGTTTACAGTCTTTTTTTGGGGGGAGGGAATTTTTTTTGTTTGCAACAGTAGTTTGGGGAGAAAGGACCAAAGGAAATAGTGAGAATGAGCTTTAAAGTTGAACTTTTCGCTTCAGAGTTCAGCAGAATGAAGTCTCAATCCTTTAAGATTTCATTACAGGCTTGAAACTATTTTATTGTTTTTTTTACTTCAGGTGTCAAACAACACAAGAGGACAGCACAATGAATTCAGCAAATCAATTTTCCTACATTTTGATGCAATGTGCATTCTCTCCTTTTTTTATTTCATATCACTGAATACTGCCTTCTACTTGGGATTGGTTTATTTCAATCTCTGTAATAAAAAGCCTTTCTTCCAAGAGTCGATATGTTTCTGGGCACCAATTTTCTGTAAGTGTGCCCCAATTGTAACTTCCATTTTCTATTTCACAACTTGGAAATACATACAAAATGTGTTTGAGAGAGTTTTTCTATTGAAAAATGAGCTGTAGACTGGGATGGGGGGGGGGGGGGGGGGGGCATAGTTTAACAAGGTTATTGTGATGCACGTCTAATTCAAAAGAAAATTTATAAATTACATTATTGAACATTTCATATAATTGTACCAACAAAAGAATCCGTTGTACGTTATTTTTAATGCTTCAACCTCATATTAAAGAGCAACCAAAAAAAGTCTATTTTTACTTACCTTCCATGATTGTCTACAGTCATCAATAGCCTTCAAACAAAATGTACAGTTAAATTTATCGTTGGAAATGATCGAATAAGTATGATTGGTAGCATTTTGCACGTGGATGGGCTGAATCAGATTGCATCTGACCAGCTTCCCCACAGGCAACTCATGCCAAGTAGAGATCAACATACTAGGGAGTCTGTTATCACCTGAACTATCAATACAGCATATGGAAAGACTGAAAGACCCATTACTGAATTTGCACAACACGTTTTAAACCTTGCAACCAAAAAGACTTAATTAAATCTGATATTGTGCCACAATCAATGCATCAGCAACTCTTGGGTATATGCAACCTGGTTACAAGTCAGACACGTTAATTGTTTTAAGGAGAAAAGTTCAAACTAATTGGCCAGGATTTTACCAGCAATCACATTTACACCATTGTCTGTACTATATTAATTTATCTTCTTAAAAGTTACGCCGCCAGCAGAAAACGAATCAGCGTTCAGTTCAATCCAATAGAAAGCACATGGGAATGATTAAGTAATGTAAAGCAACAATTTGAACATTCAATAGCAATATTTCATTGCTATGTATGTTCAACTTAAAAAATACTTTGATTTATAATGAATTAGACTTGCATTCTAACAAGTTAGAATTGTACCCTCTTCTTCCTGCTAATATAGTTTATTTCAAGTCTTTGCATGCTTCCAGTTTTATTTAAATAAAACAGTGTTGATAGCATTCTCCAAACCAAACTATTTCAGCTCCTTTAAAGAAAGAAGTGAGAAACTCAATAGCAAGTACAGCCAAAAATTAAAATCATATTTGTATACTGTTCTGTAAATATATAAAATCTGTTCAATTGCTATCTGTGCACATCACAATGTATGTGCACACATACATCACAACACACTGAGAGAGCATACCTTGGCTTGAAGTGGAATACCCAATGTATTTTCTGATCAGGTAGGTAAAATGAATGGCAAAATAATGTTCAGCCAAGATAAATTAAGTTTAAATTGAACTTTTACAGTAGATATCCAGATTCAAGAAGCCAGGATTGTACAATTCTCTGAAAAAGCTAGTCAATTTAAAAACTGCAGCTGCAAACACATTGCATTTTTAACTTTATTCTAGTTTCATTTTCCTTCAGTTGATGGGCCGACCTACATACAAAAGTTCAATCTCACCCTATTAAAATGTGAATATTGTGTATGTGCAATATGCTGAGGAATTCTGAATACAGTGCACATTGAAGGACCAAAACAGATGCCCATCATTTCCCCACTACAATACGCTTGCACATGAAAGAGAGAATCATAGACAGGGTTCAATTGCAATCACATATGAGGTCCAATGTACGTTTTTACCACAAGTGCAAATCTTTAGTTCGTGCTCCAAAAAAAAATCACAGGTTGTAATGAGTCATATGCATAGCCGACAATAGATTAAAAAAAATGAGATTGATCATCGGGAGTTTGGAGTGCACAATTTTCAAAAAAAATATCTATTTAGATGTGCTCCATCTAAAGTCAAATACTGTACTAAATCTGAGGGAATGTATTTGCATATATTTTACGGCAACATAATTTTCACTGTTTAAAAGCAGCTTAGCAGGGGCGGTGATGGATCTCAAACTGCAGGACTCAGATTGCTGATTTTCTCCATGGAATGATAAGTGACATATTCTACATCTGAACTTGTGAGCAGAGAATCCAAGTGAGAAAAAAGCCCAGGTTTTGGTAGAGGAAATGGATGAAATCAGACCAAGGGAAAAAATGAACAGAGAAATAAGGGTAAATAAAAATAAATGCAGCATAATTAATCATGAATCAGAATGTATTTTCTTTGCAAGATTCACAGGAGAGAATAGCAACTGAAAAATCACACTTCTCTCCAACAGTGGCTGCAAATTTAGCACTGTACATGGAACAAAGAGTGGAAGCATTATTTTTCCTTCAGTGTTAGTATGCAGTCTTTGAAAGGAATTTTACTGCCAAATATTCATATAGGAGCCTGGACTCCCATTTCAAAGCAATGATACCTGAAGCTAAACAATAACGTGAATTTAATACTCAATTCACATCAAGCTCTCTGGCCTCCACCCTCCCTGATCCCAACTACCCCCCACCGCCCCCCCGCTCGGGTCCTAATCCCTGACTGTCATAGCGCCTTGGGATGTCATCCCGACGTAAAAGGCGCTTTACAAATGTAATTTTGTATTGTAATTAAAATACCCTTTCATTGTCGCGATTTATTTTACGTTGACCAAAAAAAGTGAAAGGTAATGTACATTGTGTTTAGGTTTGTATAGCCAGCATACACCACTAATAAGCCTAGAATAATAAGAATGATATTGTACCTTATCACGTTTTCGAGGTGTCTCAAAGTGCTTCACAGAATATACTGTAAAGTGAATTGACTGGATATTTTGTGGGCGAAACACAGCAGCCAATTGTACACAGCAGTGTCCCACAAACAGTCGTGGATTGAGTGACCAAATTATTATTATTTATCACTAACCACCATTTTATATCAGTCAAGATTATGCAGTACTTGGCTTCTGTGCCCCTACCAACCCCTAAACACCGATTTACGAAATGATCAAAACTCCCCTCTCGTCAGCTCCATGATATGCTTATTTAAATAAGTGCAAACAGGTAAATGATACTGCCGTTGCTCAGTAGATGTTCCATAATTTTTAAAATCGAAATACCAAAAAGTACTTTTATTGGCCTGAAAGTTTAGCAAATTTGCCTTCTGGCAAAATAGATAAAGGATATCCTGTAATTTTTGTACCCAATTTTGGACACTACAGTGGTAACCAACTGCACAATTTCCAGCTGACACTCTGCTGACAACATAATCATATCATATTACACTCACTTTATTGCACAACTTTCGCACTGTGATAATCATATACCATTTATCTACTACAGTGCTTAACCTCACCTTGACAATAAGCACACTAGGAATCTCACAGCCAACATAGCGAGAACTAATTGCTTGGAAACACTGCAACCCACAGTAGTTTTGTTCTCACAGTGATTTCACCTGTGGTTTACTGAAGGGATTTTCAGTTGCCAACTATATTTCATGCCACACTGACAAATTTCCAAGATAGAAAGCCAAACAAGATTTAAAAATATTTAAACAGAGAGAAAATGGTCTGGTTACACTTTTGATTTGGATATAAAAAATTATTTCGCAAGACAACAATTCCCCAAATAAAATGTGGTTATTCACTTCATGGCTGTGCAGATTGGCTGCCAGATTTGTCCACAAATACACAGTCACTCCACTTTGCAGTGAGTCTGGTGAACATTTTGGGGGGTACTCCCAATGTAAAAGGTGCTATACCAAATGCAACAATTATTATATGACATTTTTCAGTGATCCTGTTCCAATGTGTGTTAGAATACAAAAAAGCCCAATACTGTCAATCCTGTATCAAACCTCACTTAATGAAAACAGAGGTAACAAGGGAAAGTTCAAAAAATATGTTCATGTGTATAACCTTACATTCATTTATATTCTCTCTTCATTTACCCTTTCTTCCTTTATCCCTCATCTCCAGTATGTAGCAACTCATGTTAGATAATAGAATGCAGTTTTCTGTAAAACAATACCCAAGATTTCACCATAAAAGAAAAAAACAAACCACACACAGGTCTATAACACACTCTAGTTGCTCAGTTAGTGGGTTCCACTGTGGACCCTCAATCTATTGGAAGAGCAGTACACCTCCCTCCTAAAACTGATTAGCAGGTTTCCCAAGCTTAAAAATTGATCTACTCAGGTCACCGCTGATGACACTTCCCGTGTGCTATACAGATGTTCACTATATGCAGGAAGATTTTCTGATACAACTTCCTGTGCACTTCCTGCAATGTTTCCTATTCATACAAGTGATATCAGCTTTGTTATAACAAATCTCTGAGACACTAGACCCAGACAACCGTGTTGTATATGGGACTGTCCTGCATGTGGACTTTTCGGCAAGTCACTGGCTTGTGATCAAGAGAGGGAACATAAGACTATTCCTCCTCTCTAGCCCAGAGAAATCAAGACTATTTCCAGCATCCACTGCCACTTCAGCTGAGCTCCGTCAACTCAGCATAGCAATTCATTAGAGCCATTAAGAGGAGCCATCCTTGTGTTTTTAATACAGATGTATTCA